CAGAAGCAGAAGAAGAGGAGGAGGAGGAAGAAGAAGAAGCAGAGGAGGAGGAGGAGAAGAAGAGGAGAGGAGGAGAAGAAGAAGCAGAAGCAGAAGAAGAGGAGGAGGAGGAAGAAGAAGAAGCAAGGCAGAAGAAGAGGAGGAGAAGGAGAAGAAGCAGCAGAAGAAGAGGAGAAGAAGAGAGGAGAGGAGGAGGAGAAGAAGAGGAGGAGGAAGAAGAAGCAGAAGAAGAGGAGTGAAGAAGAAGAAGCAGAAGAGGAGGAGGAGGAAGAAGAAGAGGAGAGGAGGAGGAAGAAGCAGAAGCAGAGGAGGAGGAGGAGGAAGAAGAAGAAGAAGCAAAAGAAGAGGAGGAGGAGGAGGAGGAGGAGAGAAGAGAGGTGGGAGGAGGAAGAAGAGGAGGAGAAGGAAGAGAAGAAGAAGAGAGAGGAGGAGGAGGAGGAGGAAGAAGAGAAGAAGCAGAAGAGGAGGAGGAGGAGGAGGAAGGAGAGGAGGGAGGGAGGAGGAGGAGGAGGAGGGAGGGAGGAGGAGAAGAAGAAGGGTCATTTGGTTCTCTATGAGCTTAGTGTTTTTTTTTCCAGACGTTTCATGACCCAAATTAGGTAACATCATCAGTGCTACAAAAGAGGAGGAGGAGGAGGAAGACAGGAGGAAGAGGAAGAGGAGGAAGACAACTGAGGGGGTCCTTTGCTACTCTATGATCTTGGAGGTTTTCTTGCAGGCATTCTGAGTCAGAACCGAAGAAGCTTCTTGGATGAGAAGCGAAACGTCTTCAAGGAAAAATAAACACCTTTTGCCTTTTGAAAAAAAAAGCTTTTTTGGGACATCCTTCTCTGAAAGTAAAATCCACTCTCCTAAGTAAGAGAACTTATTTCCATAATGCAGGAGACGGTGTCATCTTGAGCTTGCGGTATCTTAAAACATTTTACTAAGCCATTCCTTATCAGCAGATTTCTAATGTAGCTTCTGCATCTGGATCCCCAGCTTAAATAACGACAATATGAGGAAACTCTTAACTTTACTGGAGTAATGGGAGTCTGGCTGACTTTGTATTCAAGTTCTAAGATGGATATCTTCGGTACTCTGGAAGTAACTTTTACAATACGTTTAGAGCAAAACAATATGACACAAATGGCTGCAGCTGGGCAGGAAGGATTTAAGAGAAAAAGCTGTCAGCGAGAGCATTTTTATTGGGAAGTCATAAAAAGTGAACCATCTCCTTCTGTCTCCCCGTGGCAGATTTAATTTCTGGTCGCCGTTCCTTCCTTCCCCAAAACTTATGCAGAAAAATAAAAAAGTAATTTGGGATTTAATTGGGAGCGCTGGAAGAGCAAATGGGGAGGTGGCAAAATAATGTCTTTTGATACATTGGGGATTCTCGTCCATTGCTTTCGCAGAGCCTCAGTATGGGCTCTGTATTCGTATATCAAAAGTTACTTTGCTTGAAACTTTGGACTTTTTCCATGCAGCAGGATATACAGGTCGAAAGATTGGCAGTTCAGCAGTTTGAGTGCCGCGTAACGGGGTGAGCTCCCGTGACTTGTCCCAGCTTCTGCCAACCTAGCAGTTCGAAAGCAGGTAAAAAATGCAAGTAGAAAAATAGGGACCACCTTTGGTGGGAAGGGAACAGCGTTTCCGTGCGCCTTTGGCGTTGAGTCATGCTGGCCACATGACCACGGAGACGTCTTCGGACAGCGCTGGCTCTTCGGCTTTGAAACGGAGATGAGCACCGCCCCCTAGAGTCAGGAACAACTAGCACATATGTGCGAGGGGAACCTTTTACCTTTTAGGATATACAGAAAGGTTAAGTGAACGTCCTTTGGGCCACATAAATCAGAGAGAAGAATTCCATCAGGGAATAGAAAGCAGTCCTACGTTTAATTCAGTGTATTTAATAAGTCACATTTTATTAAATTGGCTGGATTCGCACAACCCATTGAAAACTCATAAACCAGCCTTCTTAAGCTCCAAGGCCAGGATTCAAACAGCCCAGAATGTTTTTTTTTTTTTAAATTTGATTTATATGCCGCCCTTCTCCGGAGACTCAGGGCGGCTTACAATGCGTTAAGCAATAGCCTTCATACTTTTGTATATTTATACAAAGTCAGCTTATTGCCCCCACAAACTGGGTCCTCATTTCACCTACCTTAGAAAGGATGGAAGGCTGAGTCAACCTTGAGCCTTGGAGAGATTCGAACCAGCAGAAATTGCAGGCAGCTGTGTTAATAACAGGGTGCACTAAACCACTGTACTATCAAGGCTCTTCATGTGGCTGATTGTGTGGCGTATAGGCAGATTCCCTATAAAAGATGGATAATTTGTGACTGAATTTTTTGCCCTAAATTCTCACAGGATGGACTGTCGGTGGAACTTCCATCAGTCAGGATCTATGGCTGGCTAGCGCTTTGGAAATAATCTGGAGAAAGAGCTAAAGCGTGTTTAGGAAATATGGCTGCAGCATCCGTTTGCAATTCTTCAAAGAAGTTGCTTCCTGAGATTCTTCTGATCGCAACCCAGAAAAAGATGCAGCTGCTTTAAGACGTTGCAGAGAAATGCGTTCCTTGGAATCAAATCTGAAGCACGGCATCGTTCTCTTGGAAACCCTTTTTGGTAATCCCTGGCCGAAGAAGAAGAAGAAGAAGAAGAAGAAGAAGAAGAAGAAGAAGAAGAAGAAGAAGAAGAAGAAGAAGAAGAAGAAGAAGAAGAAGAAGAAGAAGAAGAGGAGAAAATGTTTGGCAAATCTACACAGAAAGAACTGGTATTGATCACTGTAGCCAGCGAATAAGAGAATGGTAAAATCATTCATGTCGTCACTTTTTAGGGACAAGGGAGGAGAAGAGAGGAGGGGAGGGGAGGGGAGGGGAGGGGAGGGGAGGGAGGGAAGGAAGGAAGGAAGGAAGGAAGGAAGGAAGGAAGGAAGGAAGGAAGGAAGGAAGGAAGGAAGGAAGGAAGGAAGGAAGGAACTTAGACAGTAAACGGGAAAGATTTGATCTCTGCTCTTTTTTTATAGCTTCAAAATGTTTTGCCTTTGAATCTGCTTTCCATGTTGGTCTCTTTCCTGCATTAATGTCTTCGTGAACCGAACAAATCCCATTTTTGTATGGTTTTATGGATTCTTTCCTGACCAACTAATGTAGCAAACTCCAACGCCCTGCCAGAAAATGCCATAAACCTGGGTTTTTTTCCCCCCTGAAGATCATTTCATCGGATGCCTTAAAAAGAAGGATTTACAAGGCCCTTGGAATTCTCTGTGAACTCCAAAATGAGGACCTACCGATTTCGGGAGAAAACAACATTCATGAATACAATGCTCGCGAGGAAGTTTTTGAGATACTGGGGTGGAGAAAGGAAAGTTTTCTGGATCTGAATGTCATCAGGCTGAAGTGTATGACAAATAATTGAGGGAGCTAGGTGTGTCCAGTTTATGGAAGAGAAGGATTGGGGAGGGGGGGGCACATGATAACGGTCTTCCAGTATTTGAGGGGCTGTCACAGAGAAGAGGAAGTCAAACTATTCTCCAAAGGACCAGAGAGCACGTCAAGAAGTAGTGGGTGGAAGCTTGTTAAAGAGATGCAACCTAGGAGAAGTTTCTTGACAGTGAGAACAATCGATCGATGGAACAGCTTGCTTCCTGATGCTCCATCACTGGAGGTTTTCCAAAATAGACTGGATAACCATTTCACCAGGATGGTATAAGGTCAGCTGCCTTAGCAGAAGGTGTGTTGTGGCCCGTACGTGGCCTGTGCGGCTGATTCAGACAGCGAAGAGGCTGGTATGGTGCTGCTCCAGCAGCCTGTGCAGCTGGCACTCGAGTCGGACAGTGAGGAGGCTGGAGAAGATGTGGTGCCAGAGGCAGGGATTCAGCCAGGGCCTTCAGAACCTCCAGAAGCTCCCATAAGTGAAGAGGAAGAAGAGGAGGAGCCTCTTCTCGATGCACGGGCACGCAGAGCTGCCAAAAGGCAGAAGTGGCTCCTCAGGAGGAGGTCTCCTCGAGAGTAAGGCTTGGGGCTAATTGGCCACTCCCTTAGCCTATTTAAGCAGGAACGCCGACTGAAGCAATTTGCAGGGAACAACTTCGTTCACTCTCCTTCGTGCCTTGATCTTAGTTATCTGCAAATTGCTTCCGGGCTTTCTGCCAACCATAGTAAGATTAAGATTATTTATTCTTTGGATTCTTGCAGGCTGTTAAGAAAGTTAATTAACAGCCTTTGTTTGTAAAAAAAAAAGAAAACTGATTTTATTTTAGTAAACTAAGGTTTGTACAGACTTTGTGTGTGCTGCGTTCTTTGGGGTCCGTAGCTGGGGCAGAACAGGGTGGGACTAGAAGACTTCAAAGGTCCCTCTAGCCAGGGGTGAAATCTAGCAGGTTCTGGAGAACCGGTAGCAGAAATTTTGAGTTCGAAGAACCGGCAAATACCACCTCTGGCTGGCCCCCGAGTGGGAAAGAAATGGAGATTTTGCAATATCCTTTCCACAGGAGTGGGATGGGAATGGAGATTTTGCAATATCCTTTCCCCAGGAGTGGGGAGGGAATGGGGATTTTGCAATATCCTTCCCCTGGAGTGGAGTGGGAATGGAGATTTTGCAGTATCCTTTCCCTGCCATGCCCACCCCCAAGCCACGCCCACAGTACTGGTAGTAAAAAAAAAAAATTGGATTTCACCACTGCTTCTAGCCCTATGATTCTGTCATCCATGGCAAGTGGCCAAATCTAGAATTTGTTCCTAGTGACCCAAGCAACAAGAACAAAATCTATTTTCTCTCCATCATCACATCTGCTGCTGCTGATATTACATTAATGGAGACATTGAGTTTGGAAAAAAATCTCCCAGACATATAGTCCCAAATGGCTTCGAAACAGATGAGTGCAACTTCAGGATCCCAATGGTTTGAGAAACAGACAAATTCTTGCTGTTCACCAGAGTTTTATCTTTGCAACTTTTTCAGCTTCTAAGCAGCTGGTAAAAATCAGTAAAGTCAACTGACCTGAAAACCCACACAAGTTTCAGTAATTCAATAATTTATTCATCTAAAAAAGTGTGTAAAAGTATATAGCTCTCATCCACAAGGTATATATGAATGACATTTAAAATGGAGGTTTTTTTTTTAATTATTGGTTCTTCTTTTTATCAAAGTCTCTCTCTCTCTCTCTTTTTTTTTTAGTGTATTGTACCAGCGATATACTGTTAAGATTTAAAATGAACTTCACACAGTTCTTCTGTCTGTTTTGTTTTGTTTTGTTTCAAATTGGCTATATATAAAAAGAGGGTCACTGCAAAATGCTCAAGGAAAAGAACTCAAAATCAAACTCTCCCAAGAAATGTACAGCCTTTACATTTAAAAAAAGGTTCGGAAATATACATACAAGCATGCTGGACAACCGTGCCCCTACCCCCCCAAAACCCACCCCATTTTTGCTCAGACTGTACGCATTCTGATTTCTGTATGATTTCTAAAATTAGAAATTAAAAAAAATAAAATAATTTCTTCACTCTGTAGGAAATCCAGGGCTTGTACATTTCAGATTAATTCAGTAAAAAACCCACAAGTAAAATAATGCATATTTAAAGGGAAATATACAGATTTTTTTTTTTTCACACTGAAGGTACGTAAGATTTTTTTTCTTTTTTCTTTTAAAATCTATTGCCATTCATTTATTTTGCACAAAAATGTATAAATATGTTACCAGTTTCTCTTAACTTAAAAAAAAAATTAAATAAAAACAACATCAGATGAAAACTACTCCTTATTAACCCCTTTCCCAATATTTATGGATTATGGGGTTCGTGTTTTTTTTTTTTTAATGTTTGCATTAGAATTGGATCTCTGGAGAGGTGGGGGGGGCAGAGAGAGAGAAATCACCCCTTAATTAAAAACAAAAACAAAAAAAAACAGCCCGTTTAAAAAGAAGTCAACCCAACTATAATCCAAAATTCAGGTGAATCTTGGGAACAAATAACCCCCGTGTTAAAAGATAACTTTACATAGTTTTTTCCTCATCAAGAATTTTTTTTTTGTTTTTGTATACAAGTTTACAATCTTCATCTTTTAATGCGCTTCAAAAGGCCTTGAGAATTTTCCTTTCCGATTTAAGAAAAAATAGTAATGTAATATTTTCTTTTTAAAATCCATTTTACACTGTATACATTAGATACAAATGGTTTTTCCATATATCTGAATTTCCCTCCCCCCCCCAACCCCTCCTATACATTGCAAAACTCCTCCAGTTGGGCGGCCTGGAGCAGAGAATAATAAGAGCGATCCATTTACAGGGTCTTTTGACCTATCCTTTCCCACCGTTCATGGGATTATTTTTTTTAATAATAATAATTATAATAATAATAATAATAATTATAATAATAAATCTGATTTAAACATTACATTATCGTTTCAAGAAAAATATTTAAATTCATAGAAATTTTCTCTCTCTCTCTCTCTCTCTCTTTTTTTTTCTTTTCCTTTTTTCTTTTTTCTTTTTAACCAGAAGACATTTGGAAGAAATTCAAAAATGCGAAAGGGTCCTTTAAGGGTGGCCGTGACGACCAAAAGTCCCGCCCTCTTTCACACACACACACACACACACACACACACACACCCTCTTTAAAGCAGCCTTGGCCTGTCCCACGCTTAGAAATGGGAACGCCCCCATTTAGATGCCTCCAATCCCAGGAGTTATTCAAATCAGGGGCGGGCAGCTTTTTAAGGCTTGTGGACTTCAACTCCCAGAATTCCTCAAGTCAGCACGGGAGTGTGGAAGTCCACAAGGCCAGGCTGAGGACTTCTGGGAGTCGAAGTCCACCAGCCTTCAAGTCGCTAAGTTTGGACACGCCCCCGATTCAAACAATTTCATGGCTTTAAGCTTTTTTTAAAAAAACAAACAAACAAACAAAATCAAATCCTGACGCCACATTTTAAATAAGTCAGGTTTATGCTTTTTTTCCCCCCCACATGGTGGTTTTGTTTTGTTTTTAAATTTTCCATATTAATGTAATGAAGTAGCTTTTTTTGGGGGGGGGAATCTCCTTATGGAGATTTTGGGGGGTGGAGTGGAGAATATAGACATCATCATTTCGGAAATTTGGGTGCATCCGAATGTGGGATGCTAGAAGGGGGGGAAAAAAATCCGCATTGATCAAACCGGAAGGTTTTTAAGAAGAGACTGGACAGCCATTGGTCCGGAATGGGACAGGTTCTCCTGCTTAAGCAGGGGGCTGGACTAGATGACCTCCAAGGTCCCTTCCAACCCTATTATTGTTCTATTCTAAACACCTCCTTAAACTTTCCTTTCAATGGTTTTTCCACCTACCCCCCTTTTTTGGGGGGGGGGCGGGGTGTTTCACACTCAAAGCAGCCCATTTATGTCCCTTCCAGCCACACTGAACTACACCTCCCATGATTCCCAGCCCCTGCCCTCGCACAATCCCACAGCTGATGGCTCCGGGTGGACGAGATGACGATTTCCCCAACGCATCTGGATTGCTGTCAGATCGGAGGCGGCTTTTTTTTTTCGTTGTGTTTTCCGTTATTGGCCTTGGCTATTTTGCATGAGATGTCGTTAATCGGATTGACTTTAAAAAAAAAGAAAAAAAAAACAATTCTCGGCAGGCCTCCTCCTCAACTCAGCGGGTTTACCCCCCCTCCTCAAAAAAAATTTCTTTTCTTTTTTTTTTTTTAAAAAAAACAATGTGACTCTTTTGAGTTCTTCCTCAATGGCTCCTTTGAACTGTTTCCCTGCTCCATCCCGCCCCAAACACTCCTCTCCCCCATCCTGTTTCTAGGCTAAAAAGCGAGAGGTATGCCAAAAAAAAAAAATTATATAAAAAAATAACCCCACTGCTCGGTGAGATGGGAATCGGATCGCGTGCTGTACCTGGTCCTCTATAATTTAACAGCCCCTATAAATAAATTAAAATAAAACAATAAAAACTGGACAAACATCAGCGTGTCTCCAGACCATTCGTATCTACATGGATGTCGGGGGGGGGAGGGGAGGGTAAACCCACCCCAACCCCCACCCCCGCATTCATTCATTCATCCCAATCCACTCTGTCAAGGAGTTCTCCAGGTACAAAAAAAAAATAAAAAATTAAAATTAAAAATCCCATATATTTTTTCGACTAGTAGAATCCGTTCTTCGTCGCAGCCCCGCGGATGCCAACGGTTTTCCAGGAAAACGCCAGAAGCTTCACGGCCACCCCAAACTGGTCACTGCAACGTTTTTGTGGGGGGGTTTTTTTTTGTTTTTTGCTCTTCTTCAGCAGAGATCCGTGCACCGAAAAGGAAAAAAAAAAAAAAAAAGAGGAAAAAAAGGAGAAAAGAACGGAGGAGGAAGAAAAAAAAAAAACAGAATGAAATGAAAGACGTATTGTCTTCACCGTGGTCCAACGGTTCTGTAAAGGGAGTTTCAAGCCAACCAAATTTAACACTGCCTTAAAAGTTGTAATACATCTGGTGCTGCCTGAAAACCCTTGCTCGGAAGGGGCCCTTCCATTTTGGTCGACTCCGATACACCCTGAAGGACGTTTCTCCTGCTTTCTTGAGAAAATTGGGAGCACGGCTCCGGCTTCTTCAGACCGGGATCTGAACTCTTTGCAGGCCAGGGGGCCATCTTCTTCAAGCGGAAAGAGAAAAGTTTGCCTCGTCCCCGTCTCCCGCTATTAGAGGATGTTCATGATGGCGTTGTAGAGCTGGGTGAGCACCACAAAGTGAACGGGAAGGCAAGAGCCGCGATCCTGGGTCGCCGGATTACAAGTCAGCCATGACAATGCGTTGTATTGTTCCAGGACGAACCTGCAGCGAGAGAGAGAGAGAAGAGAAAAACCGATGGAGAGATTTTCTCTGATCCAGAGGTTCACCGGGAGAGATCCGCCTTTCAAGGATCAAGTGGACATCTTCATTTCATGATGCTATAATCCCTTGCGGGGTGGAGCCTGGGCAACGGAATGGAGCCTAACAGAGTGTTTTAATGGCCAAATGCCCTTCCTGTCGCCAATGCGGAGTTTTGTTCAGCTGATATATTCTCAGTGTTCCCAGAGAGAGAGAAATATCTGCCTTTACCTAGGATCGAACTCACAGCCCTCCTGATTGTGAGGCGAGAGCTCCACCTCTAGGCCACTGCACCACTCCTGTTCTATCTGAAAATACGTGGAGTTAATTAACTAAGGTGGCTAGTTTTTTTCAATTGTTGTTTAGTTTTGAGCTCACCCTTTTATACCGTGTTTCCCCAAAAATAAGACCCTGTCTTATATTTTTTTGAACCCTGAAATAAGCGCTTGGCCTTATTGCCATGCACTCAAAAAGCCCAATTGGGCTTATTATCAGGGGATGTCTTATTTTGGGGGAAACAGGGTATGTACCCAGACGACACACTGTTTAATGGAAGATGATGTTTGAATTAAAATAAAATTAAAAAAATTATTAAAAAATTAACTAAGGTGGCTAATCAGAAACTCCAGCTCTTCCAACTTCACCTCCTTCGACGCTGTTTCTCAGGGGGGGAGAATCAAGATGGAAGAAGCAGCAGAAAAAGCATGGGTGAAATACAAATGCTTAAATGTGTTGGGCCAAGGGAACTCATCAAAACAAATAAAAAAAGCAAAAGTTAGAATATTTCGGACGTTTGATGTGACACCCGGAAAAATATGGCATCCTTCACTTAATCCTCCAGGGAAAAATTGAAGGCAAATGAGGTCCAGGCAGAAGAACATCATGGCTTCAGAATCTAAGGGACTGGTTTGGACAAAACTCAGCAGCACTTCTTCGTGCGGCTGTTGATAAAAATAGGATCACCAACATGATCCGTCGATGTCCAATGATGGATATGGCACAAGAAGAAGAAGAAACGATGTTGGCTGAAGCCCACCAAACGTCAAGGCTGACACATCTGGTTCTTTGATAAGAAAAAGCCTTGAAGACATCCTAGCTTTAAAAATGGGGAATCCTTGGATTAGTGGGATCCTTTCTCCCCCACCCCATCCCCCAAAAAATTAGCCCCAAAAACTTCTCTTTATATTTTGCATACAGCCTCCAGAACAACAAAGGAGAATATTTGTAGGATTCAGGATTGAAATGAGAAGTGCTTTGATGATCTCTGAGCTTGATTGTTTTCTTGCAGACGTTTCATCACCAAACTAGGTAAGATCATCAGTGCTAGATGGTGGCACTGATGACATTATCTAGGCTTGGGAATGAAACACCTTCAAACTCAACAAATGAAACAAACCAAACTCAAGAGACTACCAAGGATCCTTCAAAGCAACCGACAACATTTTGGGTAGATGTTCCACAGCAGAAGGCCGGTCAAAGACCAATCCTTGCATTATGACCGACACAGAACCAGAAGGTCAATTACCTTAGGACATCTGAAGTGGTTTTGGAATCCAAGGGGTGGGGAACTCTCTGGGAAGTCCGGACAGGAAGGAGTTCATCTGTCTGAGCTACAGAGATGTGATGATGCAGGGATGCCTGTCAGGAAGCGGAAGACAGAATGTAATACACAAAGTCAGGAATAAAGTAATGAGTTCAGGAAGTCAGGAAGAAAGCACTGAGTTCACAAGTAAGGAAGAAGCAAGCAGTCCTGCAAACTCCAAAATGTCTGTACCGGAACACCAAACCCTACCAATTCAGTGTTGGTTCCCAACAAATGCCCCTCCCCACAGTGTCTCCTTGAATCTCAGTCCCCAGGTGTGCCTTGTGAAGAGGGCTGGGGCACTCTCCTCCCAAGTTGTCGGGTCAGCCTGCGCCGTTCCCACCTTCTCTCCACTCTCCATGTTTGAGGATCAGGAGGGGGGCAATCCTTGCTCATCGCCTGAGCTCTGTCTCTCATGTTCACTGCTTAGCCTCTCTTAAGTCATCCCTGCCTACAAGCTGTCCCAATCCTGAAAGGCCCTGGTCTGCCTCGGCCTGCTCCTCCCCACATTCCTCTGAAGCCAACAAAGTCGCCCCCTCGATCTCTGTCAGTTCCAGTTCAGGCTCGTCTTCCTCCACAGATTCAGGCTCCGATAGGGGCATGACAAGTGATTAAGCAACTCACATCCTTCTGTGACCCTCCAAACTAGGGCAGCTGGTCCCCCCCTCCCCGCCCTTCTGAGTAATACCGAAACCAACCTTGAGAAAGAGGGGACACTGGTTCTGAGCTTGAGGACAGGAGGACCAGAACCACTGAGGGAGGTTCTCGGCTTTGGCAGTGGAAACGAAGTAACCCAGGGCGAGGGGCTGCTGCTTCAGTTCTTCGGGGGCTTCCCGGGAAAGGAGACGCTCCCCTTGGCTCTGAAAAAAAATCAAGGTGAGAAGGGCAATACGGGTCAGTGCCTGGAGCATGCTGTTCTGACCTAGGCTTCCTTAGAAAGCATGAAGCAAAGTCTTAATTCCGGCCAAACCTCTTTTATTTACACGACTGTGAATTACTGTCATTCATAGTCAACAAGGCTTTGGCAAACAGTCTTTCAGAGGAATGCTTATCAACACCCACCGTATCTCCCTTGGAACGCTGCCAGAGAACCAATTTCCAAATGCAGGGCAAGGCCAAACTTGGCACAGATTCTATTAGAGTCGCCAACAGAACTTTCCAATCTTGAATCGACCAAATGAACTAACTGCTTCCTGCAAAAGCCCACGTCCCGTTTGCTCCTCTTTTATGCCCTATGGGAGGGGCCAATTATCTCCAAGGTGTGGCCTTACTCCTGAGTTGACCCTGCTTTCTTAATTGTTCTTGTCTTCTGGCAGCTCTGCGCATAATCACACTGGGAATGGGCTCCAGCTGTTCCTCTGCCTCACTGCTGTCTAGCTCCCTCTCTGTCTCTGACACAGAGCCCTCGCCCGAGCTTTCCCCAGCCCCCAGGGCTGGCCCAAGTTCCTCCCCAACCTACTCACTTTCTGACTCTGCTGCCAGCTCCGCTGGCCGCTGGTGGGCCACAACACATACAGGTATCAATGGTGTCCCTCGTGACCAGATTCTCGTCCAACTTGAGACACCCCGTCTGTAGACGGTAGCAACTTCTCTTTGCTGTTGGGTTTAATAACCTAGGGTGGGAAATTGTTCCCAACATCTAGCAATAGCAATAGCCTTTAGACTTATATACCGCTTCACACTACTTTACAACCTTCTCTAAGCGGTTGACTGAATCCATGGGGTTATATAGCTACATATTCTTTTATGGCTAAACAAGAGAATCGCATGAAGAATGAAGACATGCCCCACGTAAACAAGAAAACTACCCTGTTTCCCCCCAAATAAGACATCCCCTGATAATAGGCCCAATCAGGCTTTGGAGCGCATGGCAATAAGGCCAAGTGCTTATTTCAGGGTTCAAAAAAAATATACGACAGGGTCTTATTTTCGGGGAAACACCGTAGTACTATGAAAACAAAGCAAAACAAAAAATCCTCCATCTCAGCTCTTCCCAGTTAAAGCTCTCTCTTTTAAAAGTCCATATAAGAAAGGTTCCCACTGTTTAAAAACCAAGCCAATAGAAGAGAATATTTGTAGCTCAGGGTTGAAATTAGAGGTCCTTGATGCTGTCTGAGCTTGCTTGTTGGTTTGCAGACATTTCATTACCCAACTAGGCAACAGCATCAATGCCGGGAGGAGGGCGAGGAGGAGACTGCGGTCCTTGGTGCTCTCTGAGCTTGAAGATTTTCTTGCAGACGTTTCATGACTCAACTAAGCAACAGCATCAGTGCCAAAGGGGTAGGGGTAGGAAGAGGAGGAGGAGTGGGACTGGGAAGAGGAAGAGCGGGAGGAAGAGAAAGAGACTGGGGTCCTTGGTGCTTTCTGAGTTGGTGGTTTTCTTGCAGAGGTTTCATCAAACTAGGGAACAGCATCAGTTCCTGCTCTGAGCACTGATGATGTTATCTAGTCGGGTAATGAAAACGTTTGCAAGAAAACCACCAAGCTTCAGAAAGCGTCAAGAGCCACGCCTTGGACCACTCTTGCAGAGAGCTCCGCTCGATCCGATTTCCTTTCTTCCCGTGATCGGCAGCGACTCCTTTGAGAGCCCGGAGAGCATCAAAGGCAGCCTTGCCTGAATAAAACACACAAAGAGCGGGGCCAGAGGGGGCGACCTGTTGCTTGCCAATGGGAGCAATCAATTATAAAACCCACGAAGTCGGACGAAGGGAGGCCGTGCCTTGACCCCGGGGGGAAAAAAGATCACACACTGCTACTTTGCTCCGAACAAAAATTACACCTCAATTACCAGTCTGGTGTTAATAGTTAAACTGGAGGGAGCTCTGAAGGCATTTGAGAGAGAGAGAGAGAGAAATGGAGAGAGAGAAACGGAGAGAGAGAAAGGGAGACAGAGAGGGAGAGAGAGAGAGAAGAGAGGAGAGGAGAGAGAGAGAAGGAAGAGAGAGAGAGAGAAACGGAGAGAGAGAAAGGAGAGACAGAGACAGACACACACACGCACAGAGAGAGAGAGAGAGAGAGACGGAGAGAGAGAGAGAGAGAGAGACAGGAGACAGAGAAAGGGAGAGACGGAGAAAGAAAGAGAGACAGACACACACACACACACACACACACAGCGCGCGAGAGAGAGAGAGAGACGGAGAGAGAGAGAAATGGAGAGAGAGAAAGGGAGACAGAGACAGAGACACACACACACACAGAGGGGAGAGAGAGAGAGAGAGAGAGAGAGAGAGAGAGAGAGAGAGAGAAACGGAGAGAGAGAAAGGGAGACAGACACACACACACACACACACACAGAGGGAGACAGAGAGAGAGAGACGGAGAGAGAGAGAGAGAAACGAAGAGAGAGAGAGAGAGAAACGGAGAGAGAGAAAGGGAGACAGAGAGACACACACAGAGACAGAGATGAGAGAGAAAGAGAGAAAGAGAGAACAATGGAGAGAGAAGAGAGAGAAATGGAGACAGAGACGGGAGACAGAGACAGGACACACACACACACACACACAAGACAGAAGAGAGAGAGAGAGAGAGAGAGAGAGAGAGAGAGAGAGAGAGAGAGACCCCACGTCCATTGACCGACTCCCTGATGACTCGTCTCGTTACAACAGAAACGTTGAGTTTGTGCAGAATCGCCATGTAAAATGTCAACAAGGCATTTGTCAAGAATGGACAGGACTAAAAATGGAAAATAACCAGGAGTCTCTTTGCAGGCAGTCCTCGACTTACGACAGGGTTCATTTTAGTGACCGTTCAAAGTTACAACGGTTCTGGGGGGGGGGAAAGGAAATTAAGAGGACTGTTGGCCTGACTGTCATCTTATTGTGGCAGATTACAAGATGCTCATTTTGGAGTGGTATAGAAATCTCTGTGTGTGTGTGTGTGTTTACTGTTGTGAGGCACACGAATGGGTGAATTATCAAAGTCTTTATCAGAATTTTCCAATTAGCTTCACAGTATATATTCTTAAAGAAGAGTCTTGATCATGCTTGCTGATATCATCTGTTCCCTCCTCCATAAAATATGGGGGTGGGGGGGAAGACCCATCAGTTTTTCAGGAGCTGGAACTAGTGGATATCTCTGAACATAAATCTGCCAGAGTCGTCATCATCTTTTAACGACCCTCATAATCCCTTGCGGGGTGGAGTCTGGGCAACGGAATGGAGCCTAGCAGAGTGTTTTAATGGCCGGATGCCCTTTCCTGTCGCCAGTACGGAGTTTTGTTCAGCAGATATGTTCTCATTCTGCCTAGAGAGAGAAATATCTGCCTCTACTTAGGATCGAACTCACGAGACCTCCCGATTGTGAGGCGAGAGCTCCACCTCTAGGCCACCGTACCACTCCATAAAGTGGCACAGGGAAATTCTGAGTACTTACCCGGCTGTGCTGAAAGGATGGTCCTACCCCAATTCCGGGAGAACCAGGGGAGGGGACAGGGGAAGAGTTTGGAGAGGAGTGAAGGTTCCCAGTCATCAGGATGCCAATGTCATTGTCCATGTCATCCGGGAATGGGAGATCAAACATGTCATCTCGAAGAGGAAAGAAGAGCAAAAGGAGACGTCAGTATTATTAGCTTCTATGTGATTCTTTCTCTCTTTCTTTCTTTCTCTCTCCCTCTCTGTCTTTCCCTCCTATCTGTCTCATCTCTGTTTCTCTCTCTCCCTATCTGTCCATCTTTCTTATCTCTCTCATCTCTGTTCTTTCTTTTGCTCCCTGTCTCTCTCCCCTCTGTCCATCTCTGTCTCTCATCTGTTTTTCCCCTCTCTCCTATTTCTCTCCTCTCTTTCTCACTATCTGTCCATCTCTCCTATCTCTCTTTCTCCCCCATCTCTCCATCTCATCTGTCTCTCCTATCTATTTCTCCTATCTGTCTGCCTCATCTCTTTCTCTCTAGTCTATCTGTCCATCCCACCTGTCTCTCTCTCTCATTTCTCCCTCTCTTCCTCTCCCCCTCTCTCGTTTATCTCTCTCTCTCCCTCCCTCTCTCTCATTTATCTCTAATCTCCCTCTCCCTCTCTCTCCCTCCCTCCCTCCCTTCTCCCCCCTCTCTCCTATTTGTCCTTCTCTTTGTCTCTCTGCTCTGTGTGGGTGGGTGTCTGTGTGTCTTCAGGTTAACTTCGATTCCTGGCAATTACCTACATAAGTCCCTGCAATTTTCTCGGCAACCTGTTCAGAGATGGGGTTTTTCCCCCTTGCCTCCTTTCTAGGGCTGAAAGAGAGTGACCGCCCCAAGGTCGCGAGCTGGTTTAATGCGGATTACAACTGCATACTTTTAACCCGGTGCCTTTAACTACTTCATAACATCCAGACCTGTTGTTATTTTATTCAGGGAAAAATTCTGAAAACCAGCGTTTAAATTGACTTTAGTTTCTACCTTCTGCTAAACGGTAAGTGCTGGCTGTGGATGAAACTCGCCTCAAAAAGCCTCCCTATTAATTGAATTAGAAGGAAATCGGCAGGTCAGCATCTAAGATGGCATTTGCCAATAACTAATTTACTCCCAGGTGAGTGTTACCAAGTGTTACAAAGCTGTGTGATCTATACCAAACTTCCTCTTGTGTCCGGGATTGCTATTTATGGCCTACCTTTGAACGGAATCCAATAAGTCAGCTTATGCATTCCAACAATTATGGCAGATAATGGAAATCATCTAACTCAGGGGTCAGCAATCTGCGGCTCTGGAGCCGCATGTGGCTCTTTCATCCCTCTGCTGTGGCTCCCTGCCACTGTTCGGCTCCACAATTGATAGGGCTTTCAGTTAGGACAGGTAGAGGAAAAAGGATGCCATGCTAGGAAGAGATTCTATGGTGGGGGAACCGGACTTCCGGCCAGCTCCAGAATTAAACAGGAGGCTTCCGGTTAGGAGCTTTGTGGCTCTTTTAAGTGTGTACGGTTGCCGACCCCTGATCTAACTGAATGAACAGTTTTACGTGGAGAGGCTCCCTATGTCAAGTTTCGAGGTCGTCTCGAATAAAATGCATTTCAAACAAAATCTTTGACGAAAAAACTCCTATATATTGAGCACGACATCCTAACCTGACTCCAAACGAAGCCAACACTGACTTCCAGCCCCAAAACCCTCCCTTTCCGTTACCCACTCCCCTGCACTCATTGGCCATCTTCCAAGTCATTCTACCCCTAATCTACTCCAGCTCAAAGGAATTTCCCCCCTCCCATCTCATCTCCTCGGAAACATTATCTCCAGGGAAAATAAGTAGGTGAAAAGTCAGCCGTCCCTTTCCAGACGCCTTCGCTTCTCCTTCTTATGTCAGCACTAGAGTAAATGCAGGTTGAAGTGCTGACATCCTACTTTTTAAGCTGAAAGGCCATTGAGTAACAGCGAGAAACCCTGTAAGAATTAATTGCTTAGAGCAAAATATCTCCTCAGCTCCTTATCTAACGATTTAATCCCCTCCTCAAGCAGGAAACCCGATATCATTCCAGACAAAACGGCTGTCCAGTCTCTCCTTAAAAACCTCCAATGATGGAGCATTTTTACTAATTTTTTCATGGCTATTTCTAGGGTTCTTGTTTTCGTTCTTATCCCCTTCCAAAAGCAACAGCAGCCTGGAGATTTAGCCAAGTTTTTTTTTTTTTTTTTTTTTATAAGCTGCCACCTTATATGCTCCACCTTTAGAAATTTTAACAACCGCCACACTTAGTATCACCTCCGAGGTAGAAGCAAGAAAACTAATAGCTTGGAAGCTTTTCTCTCTCTCCCTCCCTCTCTCTTTAATAATTAAACACAGAAAAAATGAGTTGAGAAAATTAAATCTAACACCCTTTTGGAAAGCACAAGCCGTTGGACATTACTCCAATTAACACGCAAAGCCCTAAGGGCCCAAGTTAATGCAGGTTAAATATTTGTCAGCCCAGAGTTCAGGAGGGGATTTGGGGGCCAAGCAGGGACTAAGAGGCGGTGCACTTGGCAAGGCCCACTGAATTCCATCAAAAGATCAAAGGGAAAGGGAGGGAGGGAGGGAAGGAGGGAGAAAGGGGGAAGGAAGGAAGGAAAGAAGGGAGCGAGGGAGGAAGGAAAAGAAAGGGAAGGGAAGGGAAAGAAAGGAAAGGAAAGGAAAGGAAAGGAAAGGAAAGGAAAGGAAAGGAAAGGAAAGGAAAGGAAAGGAAAGGAAAGGAAAGGAAAGGAAAGGGGAAGGGGAAGGGGAAGGGGAAGGGAAATGGACAGGACAGGAAAGGACAGGAAAGGACAGGAAAGGGGAAACAAAGAAGGAAAACTGGTTGCAAGTTGTTCTGGGGAGGTCTGTCATGACTTTGAATGGTTGTTAAACCAGTATTGTAAGTCAGGAGCCACCTGTACAATCCTGGAAAGAGAAAACTGCCCAAAAAACATTCTGAAAACAGCCCAAATAGCCTGAAAACGGCCCAAAAAACAGCCTGAAAACGGCCCCAAAACAGCCTGAAAATGGCCAAAAAACAGACTTCTGTGTTGGATCTCTCTTTAATGACCCATTACTTCTTGTCCTGCCTCTGGCGCTTTGGAGAATAAGTCAGTGGCCTCTTCTCGGGGACGGTCCCTCAAGTACTGTGAAGATGGCCATCCTATCGTTGAAGGTGGGGTATGGTGGGACTCACCCGGGACTGATCGCTGAAATTTTCTGATTTGTGCACCTTAGGGGAATCCCCCCCACCCATTTCCTCTCCAGCAGCAACTGACTTACCATTATTAGGGCTGAATCCATCTTCATTGGGATAATTTGCAGGAGCCACCTGGATGGTTGCCGAGGTTGGGAAAACCAGGATGTGAGTACAGGAGGCATCCTGGGGAGTGTTCAGTTGTGAAGACTGCAGATTAAGGGCAGTGCTCCGGCCGAAGACGGAACCCATGGTGACGGCATCTTCCGAGAGAAAGAAAAGGAAGAAGAGGAGTCAGACTGCAGGAAAGATGGCTTAAAACACACCGCTAAGAGAAGACCTCAGGAAAAGGGTGCTTGTAAGGACTTAGCCTATAGAAGTCTCTTTCTGCAACCCAACAAGACAGACCCAGACTTCAGAGGATCATTAGAACTGCATGGCTCCCAACCTGCCTTCCATGGAGGACCTGTCTATTGCAGGAGTCAAAAAGAGGACTGGGAAAATATCTACAGACCCCTCGCATCCTGGACATAAATTGTTTCAACTCCTACCCTCAAAACGATGCTATAGAGCACTGCACACCAGAACAACTAGACACAAGGACAGTTTTTTCCCCGAACGCCATCACTCTGCTCAACAAATAATTCCCTCAACACTGTCAAACTATTCACTGCACTACTATTAATCTTCTCATCGTTCCCACCACCCATCTCCTTCCACTTATGACTGTATGACTGAAACTTTGTTGTTTGTATCCTTAACAATTTATATCGATCGTTTCCTAGTATGATTTGATTGCTTATTTGTACCCTATGACTATCATTAAGTGTTGTACCTTATGATTCTTGATGAATGTATTTTATTCTCCTTATGTACATTGAGAGCGTAGGCACCAAAGACAAATTCCTTGTGTGTCCAATCGCACTCGGCCAATAAAAGAATTCAATTCAATTCAATTCAATTCAATTCAATTCAATTCAATTCAATTCAATTCTATTCTATTCTATTCTATTCTATTCTATTCTATTCTATTCTATTCTATTCTAAATTTCTATTTCTATTTCTATTCCATTCCATATTTTCTATTCTATTCTATTCTATTCTATTCTATTCTATTCTATTCTATTCTATTCTATTCTACTCTACTCTACTCTACTCTACTCTACTCTACTCTACTCTACTCTACTCTACTCTACTCTACTCTATTCTATTCTATTCTATATAAATTAATAATGCTCTCCCTCCCATTCTATTTTTCCCCCAGAGGTTGAGCATTTGGTACAGTCCTTGGACAAAGGCCTAGTTAGATTTTACGGCCCCTTTCCAAGCCAAATGAGATGCGGAGACAGCAAAGGGAAGATGTCGGTCCAATCAGAATAGAGCTGGAAGGGTTCTTGGAGGTCTTTTAGTCCAATCCCCTCATGTTCAAGTATGAGACCCTATGCCATTTCAGCAGGTGTTCTTCAAAATATCATTTAATTTTTTTTATAAAAAAAAAATCTGTTTAAGACCCAAATAAAATTCTAGGGCAATGATCCATTGCTTCCCACAGTACTTAGCCAAACATAATATGAAGGTACAATAGACTCCAATTATGCATGAGGATGAAGAATAACAGAATGAGAGATCTGGAAGGGGCCTTGGAGGTCTTCTAGTCCAACCCTCTGCTCAAGCAGGAGACTCTATATTATTCCAGACAAGTGTCTGTCCAGTCTCTTCTTGAAAACCTCCAGTGATGAACACCTACAACTTCTGAAGGCCAGCTGTTCCACTGGTTAATTGTCCTCACTGTTAGGAAGTTTCTCCTTAGTTCTAGGTTGCTTCTCTCCTTGATTAGTTACCATCCGTTATTTCTTGTCTTGTCTTCTGGTGCTTTAGACAATAAATGGACCCTTCCTCTTCTTTGTGGCAGCCCCTCAAATATTGGAACACTGCTATCCTGTCTGTCTGTCCCACTGAACCCATTGTCAAGAGGTAAAGGTAAAAGGTTTCCCTTCACACATACGTGCTAGTCGTTCCCGACTCTAGGGGGCGGTGCTCATCTCCGTTTCAAAGCTGAAGAGCCAGCGCTGTCTGAAGACGTCTCCGTGGTCATGTGGCCGGCATGACTCAGTGACAAAGGCGTACAGAAAGCTGTTCCCTTCCCACCAAAGGTGGTCCCTATTTTTTCTACTTGCATTTTTTTTTTACGTGCTTTCGAACTGCTAGGTTGGCAGAAGCTGAGACAAGTCACAGGAACTCACTCCATTAGGCAGCACTCGGGATTCGAACTGCTGAACTGCCGACCTTTCGATCGACGAGCTCAGTGTCTTAGCCACTGAGCCACCACGTCCCAGTTATTCTCAGAGAGATGTGCGTAATTACCTGGCATCACCACGAATGACCCCTGCGGCTCCATGGCAACTAAGCAGGCGCTGAGGATGGAGGGAGAATCTGCAGAGGAGATGCCACACATCCGACAGACCTCCTTCAGCTGCTTACTGATTGTCTGCAGGGAGCACTCTCCCAGCAGAATGCTCCAGTCTGGAAAAAAAAGGAGGGGAGGGGGGAGAGAAATGCAGCTGTCACCTAAAGAAGTTTCTCTCGACCAGAAGTCAAAGCAGAATAAAGATTTTAGCCCATCGCTTCCTGGGGGAAGAAACATCCTGGAGGATCATGTCTGACTGAGTGCAGTTTTATAATCGCATCTTGTTTTCGGTCAACTCTGAAGCTGGCCTGACTTGAGGCCATCTTGGAGGATTCAGTGTTGCCACAATGGTGTTGAGGGATAAGAGGGGGGAGGGGAATAGAGATTTTATTTATTTATCTATCATCTATCCATCCATCCATCTATCTCTCCATCCATCCATCCGTCCATCCATCCATCCATCTCTCCATCTATCCGTCCATCCATCCATCCATCCATCCATCCATCCATCCATCCATCCATCCCTCCATCTCTCCATCCATCCATCCATCCATCCATCCATCTCTCCATCCATCCGTCCATCCATCCATCCATCTCTCCATCTCTCCATCCATCCATCCATCAAATTTGTATTGCCGCCTATTCGCCCATGACGACTCAAGGTGTCTTACAGAATATAAAACCCCTCATTTAAAAACAGTGAAACTAATTAAAAAAAAAATCAAATAATAAATCACCCCCCCCACCTCCCACCCCAGCGACAGCCAATCACACGAGCCATTGAATGGGCTCCATCCCACTCCGGGGTTCCCCAGGCCCGCTGGCAGAACCAGATCTTCAGCGCCTTCCGGAAGAGAATTAGAGTGGGGGCTGTTCTAATCTCGCGGGGGGGGATTATGTTCCAGAGAGAGGGAGCCACCACGGAGAAGGCCCTTCTTCTGGGTGCCACCAGGTGTATCTCCCTCGGGGATGGGACCCGCAGCATTCCCTGCCTCCCCGCTCTGATGGGTTGGATAGATGTGACCGGCAAGAGACGGTCCCTCAGATAACCTGGTCCCAGACCAGCTGATGTTTTGTAGCCAAAACAAAATAGTTTCCCCTGAGAACCAAGGACATTCCCACAGGTGTTAGCCTGCGGGTTGAAAAGAGGAAGAGTGACATTTCCAAGCAACCAGACAGCACCTTGATTGTATTCTGTTGTCATAAGATCCTCAAAAATACATTTGGCGGGGTGGTGGTGGTGGTGGTGAGGAGAGAGTGCTGTAAAACACTGTGAAGCGGCATATAAGTCTAAGTGCTATAGCTAAAGGCCTTGTAGACCAGGTACCTTTCAGTTCCCCGTGGCCAAGCCGTCCAAGGCGCCCAATCACGACTCTCCAGGGAAGGGACGTCATCTGGATGATCCCGATGCACCATTCCCATAGCTTCTGCAAGCCAATTTTACGGGCTGACACCTTGCATCTCCGTGATCTGGAGGGAAAAGAGAGTAGTAAGAGCTGTGAGCATGCTGCTGTGACCGAGGCCCAAGTAGTGATGACCAAACACAATTCGGTCCTCAACAAACTTAGTTTATTAAAACAGCTGAGAATTAATTCATTCTCATCTTAGTCCAAAACGAAATTCTTCATAACCCGTCCGTCGGCCTTATCACCAACCTTTGATGTCTTTGGCAACCTGCCAAAGGCTTTTCTTGGCAAAAAAACCCCACAAAGTTCAAGAGACGCTGACAAGAAGCACTGGAATCAACGTTGCTTTTCTACAAAGAACCCAATGGCTTGTTGCTGCTCTTATAAGCCTTATGGGAGTGGCCAATCATCTCCTGGCCTTACTGCTGAGTTGTCCCTTTTTTCTTCAGCTGCTCTTGCCTTCTGGCAGCTCTGCGCATGCGGGCACTAGGAACAGGCTCCTCCTGTTCCTCTGCCTCTCTGCTGTCCACCTCTGGAGGCTCCGGAGTCTGCGCATCGCTCCCAGATGGCCCTGGCCCCATCTCTGCCTCCGACGCAGAGCCCTAGTCCAGGCCTTCCCCTGACTCCAGAACTGGCCCATTGTCCTCCCCAGCCTCCTCACTGTCCGACTCCGCTGCCAGCTCTGCAGGCTGCTAGCGGACCACAACACATGCATTGTTTTGTTTTGTTTTTCATTTTACGACCTGTAATTCCTTTATTCGGGGTAGTGTCAAGGCAACTGAATGGAGCTGAGCGTATACTGGCCTTCCTGACACCTACAGGGAGTTTGCAACAGATATTTTCTGCTTGCACCCTGATAGAGAAACATTTGTTTGGAGATGAGTGTTTACTGGCCAGATGCCCTTCCTGATGCCTATGCAGAGTTCATAGCTAATTGTTTTATCTTGGCACCCTGATAGAGAAACATCTGTTTGGAGATGAGTGTTTACTGGCCAGATGCCCTTCCTGATGCCTACACAGAGTTCATAGCAAATATTTTCTCTTGGCACCCTGATAGAGAAACATTTGTTTGGAGATGAGTGTTTACTCGCCGGATGCCCTTCCTGATGCCTATGCAGAGTTCATAGCTAATGTTTTATCTTGGCACCCTGATAGAGAAACATCTGTTTGGAGATGAGAGTTTACTGGCCATCTGCCCTTCCTGATGCCTACGCGCAGTTCGCAGCAGATTATTTTCTCTTGGCGCCCTGATAGAGAAACATCTATCTCCGCTTAGGGTTGAACTCTCAATCTTCTGAGTGGGAGACGAGCGTCTTCACCTCTAAGCCACCACGATGCTGGGCTATAAAAGCGTGCACTCAATGCATTTAAGCAATGTATTTAAAACCAACACGATTGTCTGCTCTAAAGTTTGCAGCTGTTTTGTTTGGTTTTGTTTTTTTAAGCCTACCTGTTTGGCAAATCAATGTTGACAATGCAGGTTTCCAACAAATCCCCGTGCAGGTCGGTGCAGGAGGCCAGAAGCCAACGCTGGTCGTGTGAGAGACAATACCCCACAAAGAGCACGTTATACTTCTGACTTGCTTCGCCAAACGTCTCCCCGAGCTCCGTCTGCTTGTCTTTGATAGGTGCCAGGATAAATGGAGGGGAGTACAGCTGAATGGGACTCGGCCGCTACAAAAAAAAAATAAAACGTTAAATTGTTAAATTAGTAATGGGGTTTCCCAAACACCTGGGAAAGGTGTCTTGAGCGTCTTATGAAACACTAACAGGGTTGGGACTGTCCTAGATTTGCCAAAGGATGCCGCTCTTCGGAGCAGCGGTGCTACTTTGGTTTGAGGGGGAAAGGAGTGAGCCCAGAGAGGCTTTGCTGGGCTCCGGCACTCACCTCTGAGTTCTTGAGCGTCATCTCAATGCTGGCAGCTGGTCCGAAACCGGTCAGGGACTTGATGTGAATCTGGGTGGGTAGCGGTCGCCTGCACTGGCAGTAGACGGAAAATGCCAGGGATTTCAAGTGCTGGATATAAAAGATCTGCTCGTCCTTCATGGTCTGCAGCATATATTGGCAAGGCACAATCTAAAGGAAAGAGCAAAGCCGGGATTAGTCAATAGCCATACCAATAGCGCTTAGACTTATATTGTTAGGGGCCATAGGCTGACTCTGTAAACTGCTTAGAAAGGGCTGTGAAAAGCCCCGAGAAAAGCACTGTGAAGCAGAATATACCGTATCTTTTGGAGTATAAGACGCACCTACCTTTTTTGGGGAGGAAAAGGAGAAAAAGGAGAAATCTGCCTCTGCCTCCCAGCAATTTTGCCTCCTTGCAGCAAACAGCAAGCAGCCTGCTTTACTTTCATTTTCGTTTTCAGCATAGCTTGATTAGCACAAGGAAAAAAAAATCTGCTCCAGCAATTTACCTCCTTGCAGCAAGCAGCAGAGGCCTGCGCAAAACAGCTGAGAGTCGGGAGGCCGATCTGATCCACTCATGCTAATTAGGCTGTACTGAAGCTGAAACGGGCTGTTTCTTCTTGCTGTTTGCTTGCAAGGAGGTTAGCTGCTGGAAGGCAGAGGCCAAAGGGTGGGGGCCAGTGGGTGGGCAGGGCTACATTTGGTGTATAAGATGCACCTAAATTTTCACCCCCTTTTAGGGGGGCAAAAGGTGCATCTTATACTCCGAAAAATACGGTAAGTCTTAAGCGCTATTCTTCCACCCAACTCCAAAAGACTCCTGCCTCTTTCCAGGAAAGCCCACCTGAAGAATGAAAGAGCTCCTCATGTTTTCAGGGAGGTTGTCCAACATTTCTGTGTAACAGCGCATCAAGCTCAACAGCCAGAAACTGGCAGAAGAAGATTCCTCTTCCGTGGTGTAGGTGAAGGGATCCACCATGTAGATGACCACAGCCGGTGGGTAGGCATGGCTGTCCGCAGACTCAGGTTCCGTGGGGATTCCTATCCTCTCCCTCTCTGCAGAGCTACGAAAACAAAGACAACCACTGTGATTTATGTCAAGCGCAAGAAAATCAGGAAATCCAGACAGTTCAAATGAATATAAAGGTTTATTACAGTTGTGCCAGCGGATCAGGCAGCAGATTTGGACAGTGAGGAGGCTGGGGAGGAACATGGGCCAGTCCTGGAGTCTGGGGGAGGCTCTGATGAGGGCTCTGCGTCGGAGGCAGAGAGGGGGCCAGGGCCGTCTGACAGTTATCAGCTGCCTTCGGAGTCGGACATCAGTGAGACAGGCGAACAGCTGGAGCCTGTTCCCAGTGTACGCATGGGCAGAGTTGCCAGATGAAGGGAACAGCTAAAGAACAAGGGTCGACTTGGGAGTAAGGCCACAGGTGGACAATGAATGGTTTTCACAGGACGAGATATGGGAAATACACAAGTCCAGGGCATGTTATGGAGGTGCTGACAAGTTGAGAACGCAAATCACTCCCCTGTTGCTCTCTCCGTAACCCGAATGTCTACTTTTTTGAGTCTTCATCGTATTTATCATGCAAATCCAGGGGGGGGAAAAATGTATCTCCTTTAAGCAACTGTTGAGCAACCTGTGCCGGATCCAAAGCTTCATTGTTCATTTTGGATCCAAATACTTACATATTTCAAATAGAAGGGTTGACAACCGCAATAGGAAGAGGCAGACATGGGGAGAACTGAGCTTCAGTTTCAAAAAAGTATAATTAAAAACGCATCATCTGAGTATTAAGGATTATCTTGGCATATCCCTAAACCTGGATTGAAAAGAGGGCACAGGCTACTACCCAGCACAAAGATTAAGCACCCTTGCTGAAATGAATGAGCTTGTCTCTCTGTATTATAGAATTATCCGGTAATTAACTTTGACCAGTGCCAGTAACCAATTTTTGCTATTACAATTACAAGACCAGCAGGGGGCAGTATGTGGCTGAATATTATTATTTTTTCCTTATTGAGACTCATCACCTATCTCCAGTTTTATTTCTTTGGGGTTTAAACTCTCTACCCAAAACTAACTTCATGTACCATTATATTTCAGATGACTTGACAGGTAGTCCTTAGCTTAAAAGATAAAGGTTCCCCTCGCATATATGTGCTAGTCGTTCCCGACTCTAGGGGGCGGTACTCATCTCCGTTTCAAAGCCGAAGAGCCAGCGCTGTCCGAAGACGTCTCCGTGGTCATGTGGCCGGCATGACTCAATGCCAAAGGCGCACGGAACGCTGTTCCCTTCCCACCAAAGGTGGTCCCTATTTTTCTACTTGCATTTTTTACCTGCTTTTGAACTGCTAGGTTGGCAGAAGCTGGGACAAGTCACGGGAGCTCACCCCATTATGCGGCGTTAGGGATTCGAACCGCTGAACTGCCGACCTTTCGATCGACAAGCTCAGTGTCTTAGCCACTGAGCCCCCGTGTCCCACAGTCCTTAGCTTACGACTGGAATTGACCCCTCAAATTTCCATCTGTTAAGCAAGGTGGTCGCTAAGTGAGTTTTGCCCCGGTTTTACGACCTTCTTGCCGTGGCCGTTAAGTGGATCGCGCAGTTAAACTAATTGCATGGTCGTTAAGTGAATCTGCCTTCCACGGTTGATTTTGCTTGCCGAAAATCGGCTGGGAAGGTTACAAATGGCGATCATGTGACCGCGGGACACTGCAACCGTCATAAGTCCATGCCAGTTGCCAAGAGCCCAAATTTTGATCACGTGACCACGGGGATGCTGCCAACGGCTGTTCAGCGTGAAAACCGGTCGCTTTTTCCCATTTTAACATCTAGTGTCATTAAACGAATGGCTGTAAGTCGAGGACTCCCCAGTATACAGGTTTAGGAGCTGTCCAAATCCTGATCTCAGCAGTATTTCAGGAAAATCCCAAAGGTGCTTTTTCAAAAGGCAACTGGACTTTTGTTTTTCACACTTAACAACTGTTGCAGCATCCCCATAATCAGGTGATCAAAATTTTGGACTCTTGGCCACTGGCATGTACTTATGACAGTTGCATTGTCCCGGGGGTGGGGAGGAGGAGGCATGTGATCATGGCAAAAGATCATGGCGAAGAAGTCCCAATACTTATGAAGATGGGATAAACACTTCAACCTAAGACAGGGGTCGGCAACCTTAAACACTCAAAGAGCCACGAAGGTCCTAACCCGAAGCCCCCCGTTCAATTCTGGAGCCGACCGGAAGTCCGGTTCCCCCACCATAGAGTCTCCTCCTAGCGCGGCGTCCTTTTTCCTCTACCTGTCCTAACCGAAAGCCTTATCAATTGTGGAGCCGACCGGTGACAGGGAGCCGCAGCAGAGGGATGAAAGAGCCACATGCGGCTCCAGAGCCGCAGGTTGCCGACCCCTGACCTAAGAGAAGGGCCCAAATTCAGAAAGGTAAGACTTACTTGTCCTGCCCTTCTTGGGGTTGCTGCGTTGAGATCTGCCCTGCCTCGGCATCTCCTCCTGGGACTGTGCTTCCTTGGGGTCTCTCTGAGGGAACTGCCCCAGATGTTGGGTTTTGACCTTGAGGTAGGCCTCCGCTGAACCCTGAAGAGGAGGTAGTACTTGTCTGGCTAATACTGGAGGAGGAGGAGGAAGAGGAGGAGGAAGAGGAGGAGGCCAAGAGCTGGGGCACTGAAGAGCCTGGGGCTGTACTGGTGCCCAACGGGAGACCAGTGGTCCCATTCGTTGAGGAGCTGAAAGATGTGCCAGCCGAAGGAGCCGTAGGTCCAAGACAGGCCGAGTTGGAGGAAACCGATCCTGCGTTCCCGGATATGGTTTGTTCCACGTTGGATGACGATGGAGGTGCCGGTTGGTGCTTGGGTGGCGTCAGCAGACTGCTATCAAGTTGCAAGGTAGCTAAGTAAGGTGCTGAAAGGACAAACGGGAAGCAAAGGAGGTCAAAAGAAGACTCGCGCCAAAGCCAAAAAAACACGCCAGACAGAACAATCCATTAGTTTTCAAAAGAGCAGGAGTGCATAGACATGGAACGTTTTGGTAATTTATTTATTTTTTAAAATTTACTCGTATCCCGCCTTTATTACAGTCAAACATAACTCTAAGTGGCAAACATATCCAACACACTTTCCTCCTCCTATTGTCCCCATAACAACGACCGTGTGAGGTGAGTTGGGCTGAGAAGAAAATGACTTGACTCCCAGCTGCCTTTCGTGGCTAAGGTGAAACTAGAACTCACAGTCTCCTGGTGATTGACCCAAAGTCACCCACCTGCCTTTCATGGCTAAGGCAGGACTAGAACTCATAGTCACCGTTTCTAGCCTGCTGCCTTAACCACTAGACCATACTGGCTTTCAAACTGCAAACATTTATCGAGTAATTTTGAAGAGTGGGAGGGAAAAAAAGGAAAAGGGGAAGAGTGGACTTCCCATGTCACTGCTAGTCTATTCTTTTTCTATTTTTCTCTTTTCTGCACTTTTGCTTTTATTCTCTTCTGAGCCTTTTTTTTTTTCTTTTTTTCTTTATTAGTCTAATTTATATGCCACCTTTCTCCGGAGACTCAGGGCAGCTTTTAATGTTTCTATTTGTTGATCTTTCAACTTTGCATTAAAAAAAGGTTATAGCCCCCACCCCCAAAGCCTCTTAAAATACATCTACACTTCCAACACTTATTTCGGGAAAAGGTTGATTTCCCCCCCCCACACTTTTGTAAATTCCACTTTTGCGATTTAACCCATTATTCTATATTCTATATTCATTATTCTACATTATGTACATTATACATCGCTCGCACAGAGAGGGCCTCCTCAGGGTGCCGTCGGCCAGACAGTGTCGGCTGGCGACCCCCAGGGGGAGAGCCTTCTCTGTGGCAGCACCCGCCCTCTGGAATGACCTACCCCCTGAGATACGCACGATATCAGACCTCCGGACTTTTCGTCGGGCCCTGAAAACACACCTATTCCATCTAGCCGGGCTGGCTTGATCCCATCCTCTCAGTTTTAATTGAATTCGGTTTTAATTGGGTTGTTTTTAAATCTTGGGCCGAAATTATTTAATTGTTTTTTAAATTGTTTTTAAATTTTATATGCAATGTTCTATCTTGGCTGTACACCGCCCTGAGTCCCGCAGGAGAAGGGCGGTATAGAAATAAAATTATAATAATAATAATTATTATTATTATTATTCGAGCTGCCCTGGTGGCTGATCTGCTTCCGGATCCAAGTCAAGACGTCGGTTATCACAACTTTGGACAACACATAAATTTAATAAGTAAATAAAACAAGCCGAAGGAATGAGCGGAACATGTGAACGAGTGATTCGTGCTGCTCGCCCATCTCACCTAGGTGGTGACGACAAACTTGCGCATAAAGTTTGAGCCTGGAATGATTGTCACAGTCTTCGTTGCCCCAGGGTGGGTTGAACCAGTCGCTCACAAGCTCATCGGCCAGCTTCTGGGCCACCGTCTTCCCCACGCGCATGATCCCATCGTGCAACACTTTAGAGATGGGTTTGTGTTGACCAAGCCGACACATCTAACGGCACAAGGAGAAAAACAGCCGTATGTCAGAGGTGGCGAGTTAACTGTACAACAGAGCAATTAGCCAACTGGGCGTCCCACAGGCCAAGTATAAAAACGTAATTCCCTCTTTCCCTCTGTCTCGATTAAGGGCAATGGACAACGCATTGCTTACCTGCAGGAAGGGGGGAAAAATGAGAAAGAAATGTCCTATTATTTTGGTGAGGCTTAGGTGCCACTACGTTAACCTGCCTTAAGATTCAGTGGGACAAAGCATGCTAAACACCCCAATAAATTAGCCAGCATGTAATAGCAAAGCCTTTCCTCTTGATTCAAACTTTTTGCAATGGCAGAAATATTTGGGGAGGGGAGGGGAGGACAGAGGAGGAGAAGAGAGGAGAAGAGGGAGGGAGGGAAGGAGAAGGGGAAGGGAGGAGAGGAGAGGGAAGGGAGGAGCGGAGAGGAAGGGAAGAGAGGAGAGGAGAGGGAAGGGAGGAGAGGAGAGGAGAGGAGAGGAGAGGAGAGGAGAGGAGAGGAGAGGAGAGGAGAGGAGAGGGAGAGGAGGAGAGGAGAGGGAAGGGAAGGGAAGGGAGGAGAGGGAAGAGAGGAGAGCAGAGGGAAGTGAGGAAAGGAGAGAGAAGGGAGGAGAGGAGAGGGAAGGGAGGAAGGAGAAGGAGGGAGAGAGAGGGAAGGAAGAGGAGGGAGGAAGGAAGGGAGGAAAGGAGAGAGAAGGGAGGAGAGGAGAGGAAGGGAGGAGAGGAGAGGGAGGGTGGAGAGGAGTGGGAAGGGAGGAGAGGGAAGAGAGGAGATTGAGAGGGAAGGGAGGAAAGGAGAGATAGAGGAGAAGGAGAGAGAAAGGGGGAGGGAGAAGGAGAGAGGAGGGAAGGAGAAGGAGGAGAGAGAGGAGAGGAGAGGAGAGAGAGGGAGAAGGAGAAGAAGGAGAAGAAGGAGAAGGAGAAGGAGAAGGAGAAGGAGAAGGAGAGGGTCACCCACCTCATATACGGCGCTTAAGTCCCTGAAGAAAGTTTTGGCTCCGTCAAGCAAGGCCTCGTTTTCTGGACACACCACGATGTAGGCGACATCGCGGTGACCCCCGTAAGGATCTAAGAGCAGCCTCTCCCAGAATGGCAGGGAGAATGGAGAGATTGTCAGGAAGTCCTTGTCATAGCCAACCAACAAGGTGGGTATCGGGAGAGGCTCAGGCGACTCTTCGGAACCTAAAGACCAAAAGCGACATTTGAGAGACACGAACGGCTGTGAAAACTGGAAGGTTGAGCATCTCCAAAGGAAGGCTACAGGTAGCACTCAACTTACGACCCTTATGACCAACATTTCTGTTGCTAAGCGAGACAGGCGTTGAGTTGTACGACCTTCCTTGCCACAGGCGTTAAGTGATTCACTGCCGTTGTTAAGTCAGCACCACGGTTGTTAAATGGATCTGGCTTCCCCATGGACTTTGCTTGTCAGAAGGTCGCAAAAGGGGATTGATCACGTGACATTGCAACCGTCATTAAACAGGAACAGGTTGCCAAGCGTCTGAATTTCGATCACGTGACTCTGGGGATGCCGCCATGGTCGTAAGTGCAAAAAAAACCCGGCCGTGAGTCGTTTTTTCCCGGTGCCGTTGTAACTTTGAACGGTCACTAAATGGACTGCTGTAAGTCGAGGACTACCTGCATTGCAGTTCACAAACCAAACCCACTTTTTTCCCCCCATTAAGCTGTGCAAAGGAAACTTGTATATATAGTTATAAGAGCCGTGATGGCATAGTCGCTAGAAGGCAGCATTGCAGGCTGACTCTGCCCACTGCCAGGAGTTCGATTCTGACTGGCTCAAGGCTGACTCAGCCTTCCATTCTTCCGAGGTCGGTAAAATGAGGACCCAGATTATTTGGGGAAAGATGCTGACTCTATAAACTGCTTAGAGAAGGCTGTATATAAGCAGTATGTAAGTCTAAATGCTATTGCTATCTTCCTTCCTTCCTTCCTTCCTTCCTTCCTTCCTTCCTTCCTTCCTTCCTTCCTCCCTCCCTCCCTCCCTCCTTCCTTCCTTCCTTCCTTTCCTCCCTCCCTCCTTCCCTTCACAGTGGTTAGAATGCAGCATTGCAGGCTGACTCTGCCCATTGCCAGGAGTTTGATCCCGACCGGCCCAAGGTTGACTCAGCCTTCCATCCTTCGGAGGTCAGTAAAATGAGGACCCAGATTATTTGGGGAAAGATGCTGACTCTATAAACTGTTTAGAGAAGGCTGTATATAAGCAGTCTAAGCGCTATTGTTATCTTCTTTCCTTTTTTCCTTTCCTTTCCTTTCCTTTCCTTTCCTTTCCTTTCCTTTCCTTCCCTTCCCTTCCCTTCCCTTCCCTTCCCTTCCACCCTTCACAGTGGTTAGAATGCAGCATTTTTTTTTTTTTTTTTAAATTTGATTTATATGCCGCCCTTCTCCGGAGACTCAGGGCGGCTTACAATGCGCTAAGCAACAGCCTTCATCCTTTTGTATATTTATACAAAGTCAGCTTATTGCCCCCACAAACTGGGTCCTCAATTTACCTACCTTAGAAAGGATGGAAGGCTGAGTCAACCTTGAGCCTGGCGAGATTCGAACCTGCAGTAATTGCAGGCTGACTCTGCCCAATGCCAGGAGTTCGATCTCGACCAGCTCAAGGTTGACTCAACCTTCCAAGGTCAGTAAAATGAGGACCCAGATTGTTGGGGGCAGTCTGCTGACTCTGTAAGCCACTTAGAGAGGGCTGGAAAAGCCCTGTGAAGTGGTATATAAGTCTAAGTGCTATTGCTATGGCTATAAACTCCTTTTCTTCAGCCAACTCTACCGTAAGTTCCCCGTCCTGCCATTTTATGGAATTGCTGCCAGGTGAGGGGCCCTTGAACATGCTGGATGTTCTCCCAGGTCCTGCCAGTCCTCTTCTTCTGAATGGCATCTTGCAGGAAAGGCTGAAGGGAGAGAAGCATGCGCACCACGTCTTGGGAGGAAAGCATGCTGATGTCCAGGACTGGGGAAAAACACACACATAGAACGACTGTGTCATGAAAGGTAAATATATATATATCGTCTTCACTAGTACATTACTGGTTTCAGAACAGCCAAGGTATTGCATAAAGATTAAAAGGTTCAACATTCCTATTTCTGCATCCTAATACCGTGTTTCCCTGAAAATAAGACCCTGTCTTATATTTTTTTGAACCCCAAAATAAGCGCTTGGCCTTATTTTCGGGGAGGTCTTATTTTATTTTTATTTTATTTCGAGTTTATATACTGCACCTACTCCCGAGGGATTCAGGGCAGTGTACAGCCAGGTAAAAAACATACAATACAAACATTAAAAATAATTAAAAAGATATATATTAATTTGGCCCCAATTTAAAATAAACCAATTAAAAATATTTAAAAAATATATTAAGCCAGCCCGGCTTGCTGAAAAAAGAAAGTTTTAAGGGCACGGCGGAAGGCACCGAAGTCTTGGATTCTCCTTATCTCAGGGGGCAGCTGATTCCAGAGGTATTTTGGGACGCATGGAGCGAGATGGGGCTCCTCTTGCCGTCTTACCTAAGTCCCAGCTCTGCGTTTAAATATTAATGCATATTTTAGCGCGTGCGCTCAGAAGTCCGATTGGGCTTATTATCAGGGGAGGTCTTATTTTCGTAGAAAACAGGGTGGCTTGGTGGTGCAGTGCTTAAATGCAGGACTGCAGCCTAACTCTGCCCATTGCCAGGAGTTCGATCCTGACCGGTTCAAGGTTGACTCAGCCTTCCGAGGTCGGTAAAATGAGGACCCAGATTGTTGGGGGCAAGAGGCTGACTCTGTAAACCGCTTAGAGAGGGCTGTAAAGCACGGTGAAGCGGTATATAAGTGCAACTCTATTTCCCCGAAAATAAGACCTAACTGGAAAATAAGCTCTCTAATGCGTCTTTTGGAACAGAAATTAATATAATTTTTTTGGGGAAGCACAGTATTCTTTCTGAGAGTCATTGAGGCCACTTGGGAGGTTTACCTGTGCCCTCGGAATCACCTGGATAGTGCAAAAAGCAGTCCCACACTCATTTGCACTATTCAGGTGGTCTCAAAGACTCTCGGAAAGACTACCAACGACCAGAGGACTGCCAGGTATATAAATCCTTCCCTCCTCCGCCATTCAGTCAGAACTGAAGAAGCTTCTTGGATGAGAAGCGAAACCTCTTCAAGAAAGGACAACCAAAGAAAGTCCAGTGGCCTCTTGAAAAAGTACCTATGGGGTAACCATGCCCTGGATGACTGAGAATCTCCATAGACATTTATTATTTTGTCTGTTGTTTTGCAAGTAAGTCGAGTGCTTCTCTACCAGACACAAATTCCCAGGGTGACTAGCCACACTCGGCCAAATAAAGGTATTCTATTCCACGTAAGATTGTTCTGATCTGGCTCCAAACCATGACAAACCCTCTGTTGTTACCTAATTGTTCCCTTTATTAGGAATGTCACCAGACCTGGCAACAAGCCTTTATCTCTCTCACTGCAGGCTAACACGTCTTTGTGGCAGGGAGATGAATAGTTGTCTGCCACATCTATTCATCTCTGCCCCCTGCCTTTTATCCCCAGAGCTAGCAGTGGTGGCTCTTCCATCCCGAGGACCGGCCTATAGATTTCCACTGCTCTCCTCTCCTCTGCCTTCTGCGCATCTGTGCATTAGGCACTGCAGCCAGCTCTTCCTCCTCTTCCTCATCAGCCACCTCCAGACCTGGGGGCTGTTGACTCTCCATCTGAGGGTCGATGGACAGCCCAGGCTCTGCCTCTGTCTCTCTATCTCTGACAGCTCCATTCCCTCTTCCCCCTCGGAGCTCTCAGGTTGCCATGATGCTGGCCCTGACTCTCACGCCGCCTCCTCATCTGAGGGGCTGGTGTCTGACAAGCCACAACAAAGGTGTTCGAGACAAAATAAAGCTTCTTACCGTTGCTGTGTGGCCAAGAGTGACCGGTAGCGCTTCGGACAAGAGCTTCGTCCACTTTGCCGCCTGTGGGGTTGTCCACATACTGGCGGCCTTGCTCCAGGGCGTTAAAGCACTCGTTCCAGGAGTCGTGGCTCTCAGCCTGAACCCTATCGTAACTCCAGCTCGTGTAAGACAGCGTCGGCCGACTTGTGACAGACATGTAGTCCAAGCAGCTCAGGGAGGTGAAAGGTTGGGTGTGCTGATTTTGAAGGAGGAGGAGGAGGCTCACGGGCGGCTCCTGGACCCTTTTGGCACCTTCTCCCAGCTGAGGGATTACGGTGTTCTGACACATCATCAGCCTCCTTTCGGCCACTTGGCCGATGTCTGAAGTCCTGCCGAAAATATCTAACTCGTCCTCAATGAACAGGCCCGAGTTGTACCCTAGCTTGCGGTTCATGATCGCGCTGAACCCACAAGTGCAGCGATATTGGTCCTCTTTCGACGAGTCGGGGATGTACAGCCCGACGTCGGCGCCCTTGATGTTCATGTTGCAGGCGCATATGCAGCAGCTGTCGAAGTTGCTATCCTTGAAAATGTTCAGCACGGAGTCGGAGAGGATAAGCATGACGTAAAGGCTGTGGGCTTCCAGGATGGGCAGGACGGTGCCCGGTTCCACAGAATTGAGGGGCCGAGTGGTGGAAGGCGTGGAAGCTGGCGAGCCTTGGTCCGTGCTGTCGTATTTGACAGACCCTTGCCCGCTGGCTGTGCCCCCACCTCTCGGAGTCCGTGGAGTCCTGGGTGTGCGTGGGGTCGGGACAGAGAAGCGAGGGGTGGCCGGGGACGGCAAGACCCCCGCCCCGCTGTTACTGGCAGGCGCGGTGCTATTTAGCGTGACCGGAGTGCTCATTTGCGGAGTGTTCATTTGAAGGTAGTCTTGATCGGCCAAGCTTCCGACGCTGGGTATGTTGCTACAAGCAAAGAAAGAGAAGCGGTTATTTTCTAGCGGTATTTCGAATAAGATTCGTTAAAGAGGCTGGCTTCGGAACGGACAACGGCTTGGTGGCGTGGAAGCAGTCAATGCGTTTCTTTCAGCATTGGCACCAGATGCGAACAACCCAATTAGCGACGGAAGAGAATATTTGTAGCTCAGAGTTGAAATGTGGGGCCCTTGGTGCTCTCTGAGCTTGGTGGTTTTCTTGTATTATTATTACTATTTATTATTATTATTATTATTATTATTATTATTATTATTATTATTATTATTATTATTATTATTATTATTTATTGAATTTCTATACCGCCCTACTCCCGAAGGACTCAGGGCGGTGAACAGCCATGGAATAAAACACATACATATACAAAATTTAAAATCAAATAAAATGAATTAAATAAATTTGGCTGAATTAATACCCATGATTTAAAATACCCATATTTTAAAACACATTAAAATTTGCACTTAAAAGGGAGAAGATTTAGGCGAGGCCAGCTTGATGAAATAAAAGAGTCTTCAACTCGCGGCGGAAGGTGCGCAGATCCGGAATCCTCCGTATCTCTGGGGGGAGCTCGTTCCAGATCGTAGGTGCCCCCACAGAGAAGGCTCTCCCCCTAGGGGCTGACAGCCGACATTGTTTGGCCGACGGCACCTGGAGGAGCCCCTCTCTGTGGGAGCGTACTGGACGGTGGGAGGCTATTGATGGTAGTAGGCAGTCCCGCAAGTAACCGGGTCCTAAGCCAGATGTTTCATTACCAAACTAGGTAACGTTATCAGTGCTAGAAGGGAGTGGGGTTTGTGGAGTAGAGGAGAAGGGGGGAAGAAGAGGAGGACAATGGCGACAATAACTGGAGGGGGGGTCCTTGGTCCTCTCTGAGTTTGGTGGTGAAGGAAGAGAAGGAGGAGAAGGATTAAGGAATCCTTGGGTGCTCTTTGAGCTTGGTTTTCTTGCAGACATTTCATTACCAAACTTGGTAACATCATCAATGCACTTACACAGTTTGGTGGTGAAAAGTCTGCAAGAAAACAGCCAAACTCGGAGAGTACCAAGGACCCTGTTTCAAATAAGGCTGCCTATAAAACCAGAACTTTAAGGACGTGGGGTTTGCAGGGAGGATGAGGAGGGGGGGAGCCTGTGGGGTTCTTGATGCTCTCTGAGCTTGGTTGTTTTCTTGTGAATGTTTCATGACTCAGCTAGGTAATATCATCAGGGCTGGAAGGGTGTGAGGTTTGCAGGGAGGAGGAGGAGGAGGAGGAGGAGGAGGAGGAGGAGGAGGAGGAGGAGGAGGAGGAGGAGGAGGAGGAGGGAGGAGTGCTGTGGGTCACCCAGAGTAGCTTAAATGAGCCTTGGTAGTACAGTGGTCTAAGGCACCCTGTATTAAGCTGGTTATTAAGACCAACTGCCTGCAATTACTGCAGGTTCGAATCTCGCCAGGCTCAAGGTTGACTCAGCCTTCCCAGTTTGTGGGGGCAATAAGCTGACTTTGTATAAATATACAAAAGGATGAAGGCTATTGCTGAGCACATTGTAAGCTGCCCTGAGTCTCCGGAGAAGGGCGGCATATAAATCAAATTAAAAAAAGATAAAAATGAAATGGATGGCTAACACAAACCAAATAATTAACAAGAACAAGAATTTCGAATAAGAGCATGTTCCTTAAAATGTGCTGCTTATGGCAATTGTTCCTTTGACGAAAAAGCAGAAACCTGCACATTTAGTCATTCTAATTAAATAGAGAAAGGAAACAGAGAAGGGGGGGTGGGAGGGGGGGAGAAACCATTGTGCAGATTTGGAAAAAGTAAAACCGAAAAGACTTTTGAGTCCCCTTAAGGGAGCCAGGAAAAGATGACCCAGAAACTTTGATTAGCAATCAACTCCCTGGCTTGCAGTAAGCAGCCTTTGCTCTAATTGGATTACATTGGGAATAAAAGATTTTTATCCCAATAAACACCGCCAATTAATCATCGGCTCAAGACTTTGGGAAATTGTTGTTATTATTAAAAGAAAAAAAAAAAAAACCCCACAACAATTAAATTGTGGCCCAGACACAGTCAAACGAGTCTAATTCTCTGAGGTTCACTGGAGGACCTTGCGAAGGTGGGATTCATAGACAGAAGCAGTTTTTTTCTCAGAAATTAATTCATGGCCGCCATACGCAGCCTTACGCAGATGAAGCCTTTAAATGCTTCCAGGCGTTTAATAGTTTTAATTCTGGGTTCCCTACCCATCCCCCAAGCAGGGGTGGGCTTCGAAAATTTTAGCAAGGGGTTCTCTGCCCAGTTGTTGGGTGGGTGTGGCCAAGGTGGGTGTGGCCTAATCAGCCTCCTGCACCACGGTGGGGGGAGCGTTTTTGCCCTCCCCAGGCTCTGGAGGCTTTCCTCGAGCCTCCGGGAAGCCGAAAACGGCCTCCCCAGGCTCCAAAGGCCCTTCCCAAACTTCCAGTAGGCCCATTTTTCACCCTCCCCGAGCCTCGGCGCGTGCCCTGCACTTACCTGCATCCAAAATAGGCCGCGTGGGGAGTCCTGGAAGGGGAGGGGAGAGGTGGGCGGGGTCAGCCAGGAGTGGGATTTGGGGGTTCTCCGAACTGCACAGACTCTTAGCTAGAGGTTCTCCCGAACCCCTGTGAACTCCCAGCAGTCCGTCCCTGGTCATGGCCTATTCAAAACCGGGCCACGGTAGAGGTGGTCTGGCACGCACACGCGTGCGCAGCTCCACTTGCACGAGCGACAGCCCCCTTTCCCTCTCCCCACCCCCCCAGCTGGACCGCCAAGCCGCAAAGTTGGGGACCACTGATTTAGAAAAGGAAGAAGAGGAAGAGAGGAGAGGAGAGGAGGGAGAAGGAAAGGATAGGATAAGGATTATCTCTTGAGAAATAACCCAGAAAGAGAGCTGAGAAAGAGCTGGCGGTTTGAAAACACATTTCCTTGCTGTACTTACTTGTAACCATCCCGGATGAAAGCGGCTGCAGGTGGCAAAGGAAGTTGCTCGATTTTGGGAGGAATGGCCCACGAAGGCCGATAGACGCAGGCTTCGGGGACTTTCAGTGGGAGCAGGCACTGGCTGGGCAGCATCTTCAGCGGGGCAAACATGGAAGAACCCATAAAGGGCTGAAACATGGATACCTTGTGCACGAAGGAAAAATCCTGCAAAATCAAGGGAGGGGCAAGGTTTGTCATGGATGGATGGATGGATGGATGGAGCATTAAATAGACAAGGACAGACAGACAGACAGACAGACAGACAAGACAGTGAGATAGAGATGAGATAGGAGAGATAGATAGGAGATGGAGAGATGGAGAGAGAGAGAAAGAGAGAGAGAGAGATCAGACAGATAGGAGAGGTAGAAAGAGAGATGAGATAGGAAAGGGTAGATAGGAGAGATGGACAAATGGACAGATGGGGAGAGAGACAAAGGAAGATCAGAGAAAGGAGAGATGGGGAGACAGATAGAGAGAGAAAAAAGAGAGAGAGATCAGACAGGAGAGGTAGATAGAAAGATGAGATAGGAGAGATGGACACGAAGAGAGAGACAGAGAGAAAAGGAGAGAGAAAAAGAGAAAGATAAGACAGACAGGAGAGATGGAGAAACAGGAGAGATAGACAGAGAGACAGAAAGGGAGAGAGATAGACAGACAGAGAGACAAAGAGAAAGATGAGGCACAGGAGAGATGGAGAGAAAGAGAGGTGAAATAGATGAATAATAAAATAGAAAGAAAGAGATAGATAGAGACACAGAGATCAATTAAAAACCCCAATTTCATATCTAGCTTCCTCTTGTTTTAATGAAGCATAATAAAACAACATGAAAATGACATCATTGCATGATAAGAGGCCTCCCTCTTCCCCTCCCTTTGTAACAACAGCAGTTGGGAATTTTTTTTTTTTTTTCCGGATGGAATGAGCAAATATGTATCATTTGGGCATATAATCACTGTATGTTTTCAAGGAAAGAGATTTGTCTTGTCAACATCCAGAGACGTGAGAAACTGAGGCTCGGGTTGCAAATGGGAGGCGGTGAATAAAATAAACAGCTGGAGAAATTAAGAGAGGATGTAAAAAGGAGGGTGGTTTTTTTTTTTTTTTCTTCCCGCATTGGTACAATTATCCAGGTTCCTCCTGCTTGTTGATTGCGTTATATCTTTAAAAAAATTGCACACCTTGGAAAAGGAATCCACTGCATGTAAAAGAAGGGATGTCTACTCTCAGGGAGTCACGAAGATCTGTCCTTGTTACATCTGCAGCCAAGCAGAACATTTGGGGAGTAACCTACATTTAATACTGCAGCTAGACTAAACATTCATCACTACGTAACTGCAGATATGGTTAAGTGAGGCTGTTATTTGTATTAAGCACCCGGAGGTATGAGACAGTTTGAGGACTAAAGAATTCACAACGTACATAGAGCCAGATGTATTTATCTAGCGCATATCCTGAATATATAGCAGCCTTTTCACACTTTATAGAAAGAGACGTGGTGGAGTCGTGGTTAGAATGCAGCACTGCAGGCTACTTCTTGCTGACTGACTGCAATTCGCCAGTTCAATTCTCCCCGACTCCAGGTTGACTCAGCCTTCCGTCCTTCGGAGGTGGGTAAAATGAGGACCCAGATTGTTGGGGGCAAGAGGCTGACTCTGTAAACCGCTTAGAGAGGGCTGTAAGTGTTAGTGCTGGGAGGAGGGAGGGAGGGAGGGAGGGAGGAGGGAGGGAAGGAAGGAAGGAAGGAAGGAGGAAGGAAGGAAGGAAGGAAGGAAGGAAGGAAGGAAGGAAGGAAGGAAGGAAGGAAGAAGGAAGGAAGGAAGGAAGGAAGGAAGGAAGGAAGGAAGGAAGGAAGGGCTGTGGGGGTGCAGTGGTGAGAATACAGTATTTCAGGCTAATTCTGCCAACTGCCAGGAGTTTGACTCAGCCTTCTGTCCTTCCGAGGTGAGTAAAATGAGGACCCAGATTGTTGGGGGCAATAGGCTGACTCTGTAAACCACTCAGAGAGGGCGGTGAAGCACTGTGAAGCGGTATATAAGTCTGAGTGTTAGTCCTAAGAGGGAGGGAGGGAGGGAGGGAGGGAGGGAGGGAGGGAGGGAGGGAAGGAAGGAAGGAAGGAAGGAAGGAAGGAAGGAAGGAAGGAAGGAAGGAAGGAAGGAAGGAAGGAAGGAAGGGCTGTGGGGGTGCAGTGGTGAGACTGTAGTATTTCAGGCTAATTCTGCCAACTGCCAGGAGTTCAATCCTGACGGGCTCAAGGTTGACACAGCCTTCCATCTTTTCAAGGTTGGTAAAATGAGGACCCAGATTGATGGGAGCAAAAGGCTGACTCTGTAAAACGCTTAGAGAGGGCTGTAAAAGCACCATGAAGCAGTATATAAGTCTAAGGGATATTGCTATATATAGCTGGCTTTGCATATTGCACTAGAAAGAGTGCAGAGAAGAGCAACCAGGATGATGAGGGGACAGGAGGATGAAACCTACGATGAACGGTTGCAGGAACTGGGCATGGCTAGTCCAGTGAAGAGAAGGACCGGGGAGACAGGATAGCATCTTCCAATATTTCAGGGAATGCTATCTGTCAGAAATGGCGTAGGGTCTGCTGCGCTACCAAGGCTCTTCTCATTAAACTAGACATCCCCAGTTCTTGCAATCGTTCTTCGTATTTTAGCCTCCAGTCCCCTAATCATCTTTGTTGCTCTTCTCTGCACTCTTTCTAAAGTCTCAACATCTTTTTTTATATTGTGGGGACCAAAACTGGATCTATTTTCCAAAGGTGGTCTTACCAAAGCATTATAAAGTGCTATTAGCACTTCATGTGATCTTGACTTGATCTGTTTTACCTTGACTTCTTCCGGCTTCGGACTGCCCAAACCATCTTCTACTTCCATTTTAAACTCGGTGAGTTGAGCCGCAACCATGTTGACCACAGGGCTTTCCATCATCCCCAGCGTGGTGACGGTCTCCGAGCTGATGCCATCTTTGTAGCTCATGACAGGTGAAAAAGCCGGGTGCTGCTCCAAGGAAGGCGGGGTGGGGAACATTCGCTGCAGGTCTGCAACGGCTGGAAAACACAACTCGAGCGTTAAAAAGATGGTGAAGCCACGCAGAGACAAACCGAAGGGCAAAACTTTACGGAAGGTGAATTCACTGCAAGCCTCTCTATATCGCCCACGTGCCACCGAGGGTTTTATTGTTTTTTTTCTTAACATTTAAATAAATTTTCTTTAACGGATTCTTTAACAGATTAACAGAGTTGAAAGGGAGCTTGGAGGTCATCTAGTCCAACCCCACCCACCCTGCCCAAGCAGGAGATCCTATACCGTTTCTGACAGATGGCAGTCCAGTCTCTTCTTGAAAGCCTCCAGTGATGAAGCTCCCACAACTTCGAAGGCAACGTCTGTTCCATGGGTTGATTGTTCTCACTGTCAGAAAATTTCTCCTTATTTCCAGGTTGAATCTCTCCTTGGTCAGTTTCCATCCATTATTCCTTGCCTGGCCTTCGGGTGCTTTGGAAAATAGCTTGACCCCCTCCTCTCTGTGGCAGCCCCTCAAATATTGGAAGATGATATTCTGTCTCCCCTGGTCCTTCTCTTCACTAGACAGCCATGCCCAGTTCCTGCAACCGTTCATCGAATGTTTTATCCTCCAGTCCCCTCATCATCCTGGTTGCTCTTCTCTGCACTCTTTCTAGAGTCTCAACGTCTTTTTTATAGTGTGGTGACCACAACTGGATGCAGGATTCTAGGTGGGGTCTTACTAAGGCTTTATAGAGTGGTATAAGTACCTCCCTTGATCTTGATCGTATCCCTCTGTTAATGCAATTTAGGATTGCGTTGGCTTTTTTGGCTGCTGCTGCACTGTGGGCTCATATTAAACTGGTTGTCCACTAATTAATATGTTGTTGAACTGACTTAAGCGTGTGTGAGGTTTAAAAAGGAGTGGCGGGAACATTTGATAGCCTCCAAGATTGCTGAAGGTTTTTGTGGTTTCTACCCTTGTGAAAAAGGAATGCCACAGTTTTGCTACACAGACACAGACACTTTCTGTTCTCCAAAGCACCTGAGGGCAGAACAAGAAGCAAGGGGTGGAAGCTTATCAAAGAGAGATCCAACCTAACATTGAGAATATTCCAATCAGTGAGAACAATCAGTGGAACTGCTTGCCTCCAGAAGTTGCAGGTGCTCCATTGCTGGAGGACAGACTGGACAGCTGTTTGTCTGGAATCGTATAGGAACTCCTGCTCGAGCAAGGGGTTGGACTAGAACAAGGGTCTGCAACCTTAAACAATCAAAAGAGCCATTTGGACCCGTTTCCCACAGAAAAGAAAACACCGGGAGCCACAAAAACCCTTCCCGTGTCTGACTATTTCTTGAGCGGCCACAAAACTAGCAAATGGAGTTGAATTAAACGTTCTGTTTTCTTCTGAAACTTTTTTCTTCTCTTGGATTTATCCATGGTTGGCCTACCGGGGGTTGAAAAGCTCAATAAATTGCGTGCTGGCGGGTGTTGCATATTGGCGGTTGTGATGCCTATTTTGAGTGACAGGGAGCCGCAGCAGAGGGGTGAAAGAGCCACATGCGGCTCCAGAGCTGCAGGTTGCTGACCCCTGGATTAGAAGATCTCCAAGATCGCTTCCTTCAGCCCACCGATTTTATGTTCTGTATTCTAACTTTTTTTTTTTTTTGAGAGTGAGAACAATTATTCAGCGGAACCATGGCTCCAGAAGTTGTGGGGTCCTTCATCACTGGAGGTTTTCCAGAAGAGACTGGACAGCCGTTTGTCTGGAATCTTACAGCGTCTCCTGCTCGAGGGGGGGGGGTTGGACTAGAAGACCTCCAAGGTCCCTTCCAAGCCTGTTATTCTGTAATTCTGTACGTAAGGGGAATTTTAAATGTCTCGTGCGAGCGTCTTCAGCTTTACTTCGAATTCTTCATGGAACACTAAGGAGCGGCAAATTGAAAATTGATGGGTCTAATCCCTCCGTCTTGATAGATTTAATGAAGGTACAAATTACAGCCTGTGTTAGAAAGCATTGGCTTTTATTGCCCTCAAATCAACTTCACCCCACTACTTTTAAAGTGACAGCTTTTTTAAATGAATACCTTCTCAAATTAAAACAATCGCATTTCCCTCCGGCCTGAATGCTATTATCTGTGGTAATGATCAGCTGACGAGCCAATGGCCTTTGTGAATACTGGTATTGAAAAGATGCCGCCCTTGTCAAGATATAGCTTTTATTATGGCCGCATTGTAGGATTTTTTTAAAAAAATAATAATTTTGTCCCCTGATTGGGATCAAGCAACTTCCTTAATTTCCCTTAGTGGTGTGTGATTATCGCTTTGCTTTTGAGATTCTAAGGGGTGGGTTTATTTGTATCAATCAATCAATCAATATATAAATACAGGATCTGATCAATTACTGAAAATAAAGTGGCTTGATTTTATGATACCAGTGTCCATAGATTGTAGCATCTGTTTATGCAAAACTGGATCACCTCAGTTGCCAATCAATATTAATTCTTCCAAGAGACCAGGGATGGCGAACCTTTTCGGCATCGAGTGCCCAAACCGGAACAGGTGTGCATGTATGTGCGCCAGAGCATGGTAAACCAGAAGACCAGCTGGCTGGCTCGCACATGCCTGTTTTTTGGACGTTTTCAGGGTGTTTTTCAGGCCAAAAAAGGCCCCCAAAACAGGCTGAAAATGGGCTAAAACGGCCAGAAAATGCCCAGAAAATGGCCTGTTTGGGGGGGCATTTTTCAGGCCATTTTTCAGGCCAAAAAAGGCCCAAGAACGGGCTGAAAATGGCCTGGTTTGGGGGCATTTTTCAGGCCGTTTTTCAGTGCTACAGCGCCCGCAAAGACCCACTGGCCAGCTCACACATGCCTGTTTTTTGGCCGTTTTCAGGCTATTTTCAGGCCAAAAAAGCCCCCCAAAACAGGCTGAAAATGGGCTAAAACGGGCTGAAAATGGCCTGGTTTGGGGGCATTTTTCAGGCTCTTTTTCAGTGCTCCAGCGCCCGCAAAGACCCGCTGGCCAGCTCACACATGCTTGTTTTTTGGCCGTTTTCAGACTATTTTCGGGCAATAGATCCATCAATGTCCTTTTACAAGGGAATATTTCACAAAGAAAGTTTTGAACAAAAGGAGGAAAACTGTTTGGTTTCAGTCTGGGAAAGAAAGAGGATATACTTATCTGGAACAATGCTGAAATTACTTACTCGGGGGATAAGGAACTGCTGTCCTTGCATCCTTGCTTAGATGCCGCTCTTCAGCTCCCACCGGTGGCAATTTTGATGATCGGAGTGGGGGGGAGACAGCCTAGGGTTGCAATTAAAACATATGCATATATTACAAAGCAAATATTTTTTTCCCCCTTTTATTGAACTTGTAATCCCTTGCATCGGGATGGAGTCAGGCCGACTGAATGGAGCTGAGCGTTCACTGGCCGGATGCCCTTCCTGACGCCTATGCGGTGTTCACAGCACACAATTACTCATGGAGCCCAAATTGTAAGCCACAATTCACCTTTCTTATTTAGACATTCATTTGTTTATTATTGTTTATTATTTCGGCCTTTCCTTGAGGAATGTCAAATAATACAAGCAGCGTTCATCTCGCTAGTTCCCACCTTCACAAAATTTTACCCTTTAAAGTAGGCTGGGCTAAAAGATGGCGACTTGACCAAAACCCAGCCAATGAACAGCTGTCTAGAGATGAATCTGAATTTGAGATTATCTGATCTGCGTCTAATGCTTTATCCATTTACACATTACATTCCCTAAAGCAAATAACCTTGAATTTTGTGTTGGATCTAAGAATGAACATTATTTTTTGGAGATAAAAATCAACCCTGGAAAAATGTTTCATGTGACAGGTAGTCCTTGGTTAATGACAGTCCTCATTCAGCGACTGCTCAAATTTATGATGGTGCTGAAAAAGTAGATTTATGATTGACTCTCAAGCTTACAGCAATTATAATGTCCCCATGGTATGTGGTTGTGATTCGGGCAGTGAGCAGCTGCTGCACATCGTGAAAATGATGGCCATGTATAACCTTCTTAGCCAACCTCTGGAAAGTAAAGTCAACAGGGAAGCTAGAAGGAACTTGCAAGCCATAATCATGCAATGTCATACTTAACAACCACGATTCGTTTAACGACTATAGCAGAACTGACATTGTAAGATAGTCCTAGTCACAGGATGTTTCATCCATGACTGTGCTGCTTAGGGACGGAGTTGCTGGTCCCAGTTATTGTTGTTAAGGGAGAACTGCCTGTATTTAATACCTATGAAATGTCAAAGGAATTTGGAAATAAAACTTACCATATCAACTGAAAAAAAAAAAGATTAAAATTCTGGTTTTATAGGAGTGTTATTTGAAACAGAACTAACTCCATGGTCCTTGGTGATCTCCGAGTTTGGCTGTTTTCTTACAGACTTTTCATCATCAAACTGTGTAAGTGCATTGATGATATTACCTAGTTTGGTAATGAAATGTCTGCAAGAAAACCAACTGCAAAGGACCCTGCAGTTAGTTCTGTCCTTCTCCTCCTTCTCTTCCTCCACCACCATCACCACCAAACTCAGAGAGGACCAAGGATGTCCCAGTTATTGTCATCACTGTCCTCCTCCTCTTCCCCCCTTCTCCTCTACCCCACAAACCCTACTCCCTTCTAGCACTGATAACGTTACCTAGTTTGGTAATGAAACGTCTACAAGAAAACCACCAAGCTCAGAGAGCGCTAAGGACCCCACAGTTCAACCCTGAGCTACAAATATTCTCTTTTGTCAGAACTAACTTCATAGTCTGCAACCTCATTCAAGGTCAAAAGGACACTGTCCCAAGGATCAACCTCAGTTCATCACAAACTTACACCAGGCTCATCTTCATCTGAATTATCGAAGAGATTATCCAAATCGTGAAGAGAAGGGGCCAAGTCAGTAACTTGTGTTAAGCTACCAGAACCAGCTCGGCCAGCCGAATTATCTTGCCGCGTATCTGGGAGAAGAAGAAGAAGAAGATCAAGAAGTGAGAATGCACAACAGACATTTAACCACGTCCCCCAAATTTGTCCTTAAAAATGCCTAATTAGAGACTCAGCAAAAAAGTAATGCCCAGGGGAAAATATTCAAAAACTGGACGTTACCACCATCCCACCTTTTCTTCTTTTTGCTTATTGTGAAAGGATGGATGACTCGTGATTGGCTGTTGACAATTCACCTACAGCATACCTGTCTTAGGTGCAGAACTGAAGATGGACATTGCATCTTTCCCATCTGGCATGGTGGTTGAATGGCCTCCTGAAGTTAGCTCCTTAGCTGCAGTTCCGTCTTCTGGCTGCAATCACAAAGAATTTAACCAACTGTTATTGAAGTAAATACTGTGAAAATCCAAAAGAAAATGAGAAGGAAGAGATCTTGAATTATTTTAGCACATTATCTATCTATCATCTATCTATCTATCTATCTATCTATCTATCTATCTATCTATCTATCTATCTATCTATCTATGCACATATCTACATATCTATCTATTTATCTATCTATACCTCTATCTACTTATCTATATCTATGTATGCACATTTATCTATCCATCATCCATCCATCCATCCATCCATCTTTCTCTCTCTCCTCGCTCAATCTACTTATCTATATTGAACTACGTATCTATCTATCTATCTATCTATCTATCTATCTATCTATCTATCTATCTATCCTACCTACCTACCTACCTACCATCCATACACCCACCCACCCTCCATCCATCCATTTATCTATCTAACTAATCTACCTACCTACCATCCATCCATCCATGCATCCTCCCACCCACCCTCCATCCATCCATCCATCTACCTGCCATCTTTCTCTGAGACACTTAACTAAGTGATATGAAGACCTAAACAATTGATTTAAAGACCCGGTGGCTGCATTTTAGACCTGGTTGCTTTTCCTGATGCTTAACACAGGTGCCCTGTGTTAGAATATAACTCTACATTATGTAAATTCTATGGCCGTGTTAAGCACGCAGTGTAAACTCAAGTGTGAAGTCTGATGAAGGATGAAATCAAGTCGAGGGGATACGCAAAGCCACGAACCGCTCTACAAAGGTTTATGCCTCAACTTCGACGGGTACCTTATTCTTCTTCAGAGATTCTCTGTCAGTCCCAAGTTTGCATTTTTTAGTGCCAGTGAAGCTGTATTTGATGTCCCCGTCCTGAAACGTGTATGGATCAGTGGCATCTCCCAAGCATTCGCCAGATTGAGGAATTAGCGGTGAGGGGTCCAGATAATTTACTGCTTGAACAGGTAGGGTCTCCTCCATGATTTTAAATCTTTTATTAGGCTGTGCTAAGAACCTATAGTAGAGGAAAAAGAAGCACAAGTCAATAATCCCCCTTCTGGTTGGTTGAAGAATGAAAGCAAAATATTTATCTAACTTCTGTGGCTGTTAAAAACATCCTCCTCAAATAAATGGGTCCAACAAACTTTTTCAACCTCAGCATCATACAATTTGCTTGTCAATGGCTAAGGGGAAAGACATGTTCATATCATCAGGAGTAGAACTCACCATCTCCTAGTGATTGGCCCAAAGTCAGCCAGCTGGCTTTCATGGCTAAGGCGGGACTAGAATTCACCATCTCCTAGTGATTGGTTAAAAGTCAGCCAGCTGGCTTTCATGGCTAAGGCGGGACTAGCATTCACCATCTCCTAGTGATTGGCCCAAAGTCAGCCAGCTGGCTTTCATGGCTAAGGCGGGACTAGAATTCACCATCTCCTAGTGATTGGTTGAAAGTCAGCCAGCTGGCTTTCATGGCTAAGGCGGGACTAGAATTCACCATCTCCTAGTGATTGGTTGAAAGTCAGCCAGCTGGCTTTCATGGCTAAGGCGGGACTAGAATTCACCATCTCCTAGTGATTGGCCCAAAGTCAGCCAGCTGGCTTTCATGGCTAAGGCGGGACTAGAATTCACCATCTCCTAGTGATTGGCCCAAAGTCAGCCAGCTGGCTTTCATGGCTAAGGCGGGACTAGAATTCACCATCTCCTAGTGATTGGCCCAAAGTCAGCCAGCTGGCTTTCATGGCTAAGGCGGGACTAGAATTCACCATCTCCTAGTGATTGGCCCAAAGTAATCTAGCCGGCTTTCATGGTTAAAACAGGACTAGAATTCACCATCTCCTAGTGATTGGCCCAAAGTCAGCCAGCTGGCTTTCATGGCTAACTAAGGTGGGATTAGAACTCCCCATCTCCTCGAGATTGATCCAAAGCCATTCAGCTGGCTATCACGGATAAAGAAGTACTAGAACTCACGGTCTCCCCCTACTGTCTTAACCACCAGACCAAACTGTCTCTCATACCTTCATATCCTAACCTAAACTCTCCATGCTAGTTCCATGTTGTCCAACTTTTCTTGCTGTGGAACTGGGTAGCCCTGTCTCAACAACACTCTCTCTCTCTCTCTCTTTTGAACAATGCACATATCTTAATTCACTGCTTTTCTTCCATTATTAAATCCAGTGATCCCCCTCTGTAAGCTTGTGGAATCTTCTCAACTTAAAAAACAGAAAAGGGGGATTCCCAGAATTTAACTTTTACAGCTACTAATGTATTATTTGTTTCAATCTCCTGTCCTCCGGGACATCAATTTGAAGCAACCCTCTTTTCTTGAGAATCGGTTTTGTTCTGACCTAGGCTTGCCTAGCAGCACGAAGCCAAGTCCTTGTCCCGACAAAAACCCTTTTTATTTAATTTACAGTGAATTCCTTTCCAGCAAAGTCTTTCCTCTCCCATAGTTCACAATTACCGACCTTTATCAGGCTTGGAGAGTGGCCAGGCTGGTATCTTTCAGACGCCGCAATACTTGGCAAGAATGCAGGAATGAACTGATTGTCTCCTGCAAACTCCACTCCCCTTTCGCTCCTCTTTTATTCCCTCTGGGAGGGGCCATTCATTGTCCACCTGTGGCCTTACTCCCAAGTCGACCTTTGTTCTTTAGCTGTTTCCTTCGTCTGGCAACTCTGCGCATGCGCCCACTGGGAACAGGCTCCAGTGTTGGTCTGCCTCAGTGATGTCTAACTCCGAAGGCAGCTGATAACTGTCAGACGGCCCTGGCCCCCTCTCTGCCTCCGACGCAGAGCCCTCATCAGAGCCTTCCCCAGACTCCAGGACTGGCCCATGTTCCTCCCCAACCTCCTCACTGTCTGAATCTGCTGCCAGATCCGCTGGCCGGGGCCACAACAGGTTTATGGCTTTCAAATGGTCTAACATCTACATCTTCCTCTGTGTGATACTCAAAAGGAATCCCTTTCCTGTACTGAGAAGTTTCAGAACACCATTCCATAGAAATAATATCTGAATAACTGCAGGAGAACTGCGCTGTTATTCTGAGATAATTTGAGGATGCACGTTGCTGGCTCTAATTTGCAGTATTCTTGAAGCCTGACATCAATATTTTAGGCCTTAGCTGGTTATTATTATGGATAATGTGCTGTATAAAATCTGCCCTGTGGCTTTTCTTTTCTTTTCCTTTTTTCCCCTTCCCCAGTAAACTGTAATAATATAATTACGCGATGCGATATTTAGCATGTTCTAATTCACCACAAAGGGGAAAAATGAATGGGGGAGCGCCTGATATATTCTCGTGTCAGCCTGCTTTATCATTATGATTTCTGAAGAAATGCAGAGGAGGAAGACTTCTCAAAGCTAGCGGGAATCTCTTAGTCCAACGTGAGAAGAAAGAACGAACACCGTTTTCCAACGTTTCTGCTTTAAACATTCGTTGGTATCCTTCAGTATTCTGACAGGTCAGTACACGTCTTCCTGTGGTCACAGGGATCGTACCACATGACCTCCTAAAAGAATTGCTCTCATTGATGATGGAGAATGCAGGCACATTGGAGGCTAGCAGCCCTGCAGTGCTGTATTTCCACATGGCCATCGGCTATTTATTTATTTTTTGGTTTGATTTATATGCCGCCCTTCTCCGGAGACTCAGGGCGGCTTACAATGCGTTAAGCAATAGCCTTCATCCTTTTGTATATTTATACAAAGTCAGCTTATTGCCCCCACAGTCTGGGTCCTCAATTTACCTACCGTAGAAAGGATGGAAGGCTGAGTCAACCTTGAGCCTGGCGAGATTCGAACTTGCAGTAATTGCAGGCAGCTGATGTTAATAACAGTGCTTTAGTCTGCTGCACCACCAGGGTTCTATTTACATCAATGGCTTGAGAATTAGCCTTCCCATAATTGTCTATGACAATTCGACATGGCGCAACTCGCTGTAGCCAACTCACCAGAGCCGACTGGACGCAAGACAATTCGCTGTGGGGCATGAGGAATACTGATATCAAAGGAATGGTGGGATAGAATCATTAAGCCGCAGTGGCGCAGTGGTTAGAGGGCAGTCCTGCAGGCGACTTCTGCTGACTGCCGGCTGCCTGCAATTTGGCAGATTGAATCTCACCAGGCTCAAGGTTGACTCAGCCTTCCATCCTTCCGAGGTGGGTAAAATGAGGACCCAGATTGTTGGGGTTTGCAAGATGCTGACTCTGTAAAGCGTTTAGAGAGGGCTGGAAAGCACTGTAAAGCGGCATATACGTCTAAGGGCTACTGCTGTTGCTATTAAGGAAAGGATTTTGAATAACGCAATTGAACTGTTAAAATTGTCCTGCGGCGAGTTGTCCTACCGAAATTTGGCTGTGGTGAGTTGTCCCACAGCAAGTTGGCCATGGCGCATTGGCCGCAGTGACTTGTCTCTGGCAAGTCGTCCCATCCCATCCCATCCTGACACGCTGGAAGGAAAACAAGACTTGGTCTTACCTTTTCAGCGGACTGTTTTCCAATGCCATGTCCATCTTGAGGTCGTGGATCTCACACTGGAGTTCCGGAGGCCTGAATTCTAGATTGCTGGGGAGAGGAAGAGAATATCCCTGCCATTTGTTGGATGACTCCTGGTGGTGTACGATCCCGCAGTACAAAGCTGTCTCGCTGACTTCGGCCATCAGAGGCAACCTTTGACCCACGAGGACCGTCCGATCCTCCGCGCTGGCCATGGGCTGAAGTTCTAATCCATTGCTGTAGAGGGTCGGGTTGCCAGGATCGGACGACGGATCCAAAGTGTCGGATTCCTGTCCCCTGGGCTGGGGGCTGAGGGTCGGAGGCAGAGGAGATATGGGGGAACGGGGAGAATCCATAGGATTCGAATTGGCTGGCTTGCTCGGGTGTCGGGGAGGCAGGGACAGCTGCTTCTCGTACTTCCTATTACTCGCAGCTTCTAAGGAAGGTTCCACTCCGGCCAAGGCCAGCTTCTGTCCCGAAGGGTCCTGCTCCAGGCACAGGTCTTCGGTGACCGAGGGACGATGATGAAATGGCAGCAACAACCTCTTCTGAACTTTCTCCGATTTCTCCTGCCTCTCGGTGGTTTTGTGCTTAGAGGTAGGAGGGGGTAAAGTGGAAGAGGAGGAGGTTCCCCCTCCGAACCCCGGCTGCGATATCGTGGGTGGACGACTGGAGCCGACAGCACAGCGTTGCTTCAGGAGTTTGTGCCTGGAGGGAAAAAGAAGAAAAAAGAAAGAAAATGTTTCAAGAAGTTTAATCAAAATGCAGTTAACAGTGTAAACCATCATTAGGAGTAAAGCAGTGTCAGCGTCCCAGTACTGACATATAATAAAGAGAGGAGAAGCCTGAACTTTTGCCTACTAAATCCCTTTGAAGATTCTGTCTCCTCGGAGATGGGAGAGGGGGGAGACATTCCTGTGATCTGACGAAGAAGGAATCAGGAAAGTGACTTGGAAGATAGCCAATGAGAAGCAGAGAATTGGGGATCGGAAAGGGAAGGATTAGGGGGCAAAGGTCAGTACTGACCGCGAAAGAGTCAGGATCAGATTGCTGTGCTCGAATAAAGAGAAAATTTCCTTAAAGATCGGCAGTTTGGAAATTCATTTATTTTGAGATAGCATCGAAACCTGACAAGCAGCTGAAGGCAACTCCTAGAGAGGCAGGAAATACATCTCTGAATAAAGCTGCCTACACAGCAGACATAACCACTGTAACAGAAAACTTGAAAGAATTTACCAAACGGGCCTCTTAGGGCAGGGATGTCCAACCTTGGTACTTCAACTCCCAGAATTCCCCAGCTAGGAATTCTGGGAGTTGATGTCCGCAAGTCTTAAAATTGGACACTCTTGCTTTAAAGCAGTGGTTGTCAACATTGGCAAGTGATTTTTATTTTTTTTTTACATATTCTCAGATCGTGGTTTCTCAACCTTTGCAATTTTAAGACATGTAGACTCTAACCCCGAAGCTGGGGAATTCTGGGAGTTGAAGTCCACAAGTCTTAAAAGGTGCCAAGGTTGGACATTCTTGCTTTAAAGCAGTGGTTTTCAATCTGGGCAAATTGAAGATTGGGTGGATTTCAACTCCCAGAATTGGGAGATACCCCAAGATGGCTGGCTAGGGAATTCTGGGAATTCACTGTCGGCTTTCTTGGCTAAGGTGGGACTAGAACTCACCGTCTCCTGGTGATAGGCCCAAAGTCTGGCAGACAGCTTTCCTGCCTAACTAAGGTGGAGCTAGAACTCACCATCTCCTGGTTTCTAGGCCAGCACTATATCAAACTCACATACGTAACCCTATTTTCTTCTATGTGAATGGTCTTGAGATTCTCCTCCCATCTACTGACCTGGAACAAGAGCAGGGGACTCTTTGGGCTGGATCCACAAAATCCCAAGAAACACAGCTGACGGGGGCATCTTCCTCCATATTGGTAGCGGGAACGGGATTCCTTCTGGTAGGAATTAAAACAGATGTAACTATGTCAGCAGGCCAGGAAGTCTTAATTTATGAGCGCAGAAGCTCAAGAGGTAAGTATGAATGAATGAATGAATGAATGAATGAATGAATGAATGAATGAATGAATGACCAATGCTTCCCAGGCTAAATGAAGCTATTTTTAATCAGCTTTGAAAATTTTCTTTTCTTAAATCGGATATTATGTGAACGGAGTTGCATAATATATATTTTACATATATTTTACAAGCCGGGCTAAAAGGAAATTTTATTTCCTGTACACTCAGTAGTACCGTTGGCACCCAGCTTATTTTTATGTGCAGCCACATCTGAGCTTTTTTCGCATACCTGCGTATTATTACTAAATGAGATTTACAGTTCATACTTTCCACTCCAATCTTCAGAGTGTATTTGTGCGCATCGGAGATATAACCAAGGCACAAATCGTCAAAGAACAGCAGAGCAAGGTTTAGCAAAATTAAAACGTATAGGTGAATGCCACAGGGAAGAATCATCTGAATAACACAGCTGGAAGAGTCCTTGGAGGTCTTCTACACATCTGAGCTGAACCAACTTAACCGGTGGTCTCTGAGAAGACGCATAATAATTGCAATTTCGTTATTCTACGTATGACTCAGAATTCCTTTTAAGGAACTCGGGATGTTGCAACTCAGATTAAAACCACAAGGACCCAAATATGTCCCTTACTCTTCTTCTCCTAAATGGGTTTGATATAGGACAGGAGTCAGCAAGCTGTGGCTCTGGAGCCGCATGTGGCTCTTTCAACCCTCTGCTGCAGCTCCCTATCGGTGGTTGGCTCCACAATTGATAGGGCTTTCGGTTAGGACAGGTAGAGGAAAAAGGACGCCGCGCTAGGAGGAGACTATGGTGAGGGAAGCGGACTTCCGGTCGGCTCCAGAATTGAATGGGGGGCTTCCGGTTAGGACTTTTGTGGCTCTTTGAGTGTTTAAGGTTGCCGACCCCCTGATTTAGGAAGACAGGCAGAACCAAGGGAAGGAGTCAAGAGAGGAATCAGCCTAGAATCCTTACATTCCCACAAATGGTTTACGTTCAACCCCTCTTGAATTTCATTACCTTAGTGCCAGTTAGTGTTAATTGACTAGATTGCTCTGTACAGGCATGAATAAAAAATCAACTTGACTAGAATCTAATTTGAGTAGTCCTGATTCTTCGCATCTGACACTTTGGTGGGGCTCACAATAAACTCATAAAGATTAGGACCAGCAGTTCTTCAACACGATTCCCCAAATTAGTCATTCAGTTTGACATTACAAAGTATTCACTCATTTACTCTCTCTCTCTCTCTCTCTCTCTCTCTCTCTCTCTCTCTCTCTCTCACACACACACACACACACACACACACACACACACACACACGTCCATAGAGAGACAGGTTATTAAAATGAGCAGTTGTAGAAGTTTGTAGCAAAAGAGTCCAGGAAAACCCAGTGTTCCTACTTGGACTGTGTCCTATTGAGGATGCATTCTTTCCAAACTCGGTGGACCATACAGTTCTGAAATTTGGGCGGGATCTTCCCCGATTTTTTGGGACTCTGCATAGTGACCATTCCATCTGGTGCAGCTGAATGATTGACGATGGTTGGAATGCCTCCACTGTCACCTGCAAGAAATAGCAGATTTTTTTATTATTATTTTTATTTTTTGAGAATTTTATTCAGTTTGTTTGTTCGTTAGACTTGTTTGCCCCCAATTTTGCCTAGACGTGACTCTGGGTTGGCTCGCAAACGTTAAAAGCCAATAAAACATTGAAGCAATAAATATTCATAATAATGGTAGTAATTTACAATGAAAAAGATGGGAGAAGAAGGGTGCAAGATGCAACAGGATTATCTGGATATAAAATACAAATTAAAATAATGATGACAGGAAATCAAAGGAGGAAGCATGAGGAAACACACAGATCCGAAGCTTGTATATATTTACTGATGAACAACAGTTTGGTTTTAGACACAAACAAAATCTGGGATTTGATGCAGACGACCCCAGCTTGTCAGAATGGAGTGTACGGATTCCCATTTACTGCCGGGGTAGAGCAGCTAGACAATTCCAAACCCTCCAGCTGTGATAATATTCAAGCCAACAATATTGTATTGATCATCTCCGATCAGGGTTACTATCCACGTTATAAATCTAATGACAGAGAAATAAATATAAATAACAGAATAACAGAATTGCTAGGGACCTTGGAGGTCTTCTAGTCCAACCTCCTGCTCAAGCTAGAGATCCTATAGCAGTGATGGCTAACCTTCTTGCCATTGCGTGCCAGGAGCGGGGTGGGGGTGGGGGGGGTCACGCACGCGTGCGTCCACACCCATAATTCTATGTGCCCTTCTGGTCCCACCAGAAGTTGGCAAACAGGCCGTTTCTGGCCTACGGAGGGCCTCCATGGGGGTGGGGAGGGTGGTTTTCGCCCTCCCCAGATTCCTTGAAAGGTTCTGGAGGCTTGGGATAGCAAAAAACGGGTTTTCCGGTCCCACTGGAAGTTGGCAAATGAGTCATTTCTGGCCTCTGGATGACTTCCAGGGTGGGGGGTGGGGGGGGGGAAGGCTGTTTTCGCCCTCCCCAGACTCCTAGAAAGGCTCTGGAGACTGGGAACAGCAAAAAAACCGGGCTTTCCGGTCCCACCAGAAATTGGCAAACAGGTCATTTCTGGCCTCCAGAGAGCCTCCATGGGGGTGGGGAAGGCTGTTTTTGCCCTCCCCAGACTCCTAGAAAGGCTCTGGAGGCTAGGGAGAGCAAAAGATGGGCCTTTCGCGCCCTCCCCTCCAGGTCCTCTGGAGGCAGGAAACAGCTTGTTTCCCTACTTCTGGTGGGCCCAGAAGGCCCGAAAATCAGCTGGCCGGAGCTGAGCTCGTGTGCCCACCGATATGGCTACACATGCCACCTGTGGCATGCGTGCCATAGGTTCGCCATCACGGCCCTATAGCATTTCAGACAAATGTTTTAGAATAAGACTTAAGAAAATATATGGTATAAAATGTTTTGGGTTTATTATTTTGATATGAAATGAATGACTGTAATACTAGGAATTATGTTAAATGAGATTTTAAACTTAAGGGGTGCAATATAGAGAGGAAGGGGAAAATGGGATTAGGTTAAGATTAGAGTTAGGATGAATGGGCAATATTGATTAAAAAAAAGAAAAAAGAGAAGAAAGAAAGAAAGAAAGAAAGAAAGAAAGAAAGAAAGAAAGAAAGAAAGAAAGAAAGAAAGAAAGTAGAGAAAATAAATACTATGGCAAAAAGGGAATATATAAATTGTGTTGAAATGACTAAAAATTGTTTAAATTTGTGAACCGGCCAATACTCTGTTCAGAAAAAAATACATTGTATGTGTGTTTGCGTGTCTAAAAAATAAAAATAAAAAACTTTTTTTAAAAAAAGAAGATTTTGAAGCCATTGAGATTCTTCTTCTGCCTGGACCTCGTTTGCCTTCAATCTTTCCTTGGAGAGGATTAAGTGAAGTTTACAATACTTTATAACTTAATAAAATGTGATTAAAAAAAAGAAAAAGAGAGGGACAAAATTTGTTTTCTGCTTTTGTCCATCGGAGGCAGGAGAGGTGGCTTCTAGCCTGCAGCGGTTAACACCAAAAATTCAGGAATTCTGGTCTGAAAGCAATTCCAACTGGAAGGAAGGGAAGCATCAACTCAACGCAACTTAAGTCAGACAGCAGAGGGAGCCTTGTGTTCGCTTAGCGTCTTAACCGCATGTCACAAAAAAAAACACAAAAAAACCAACGCCGAGCACTTGGGCTGGAAAAGGGGGTAATTGTACAAATCCTCAACAAGGTCAAACATGTTTACAGAACTCCTTGTTCTAATGTCTGGCGTGGCCAGAAAAAAAAAAAAAAAGCCTTGTGAATAAAACACTGGAAACAGCCAAAGCACAGCGATCTGGGGAGGAGAAGGGGAAGGAGGGGGGGAGGAAAGACATTCACCGAGAATGGTGGATGCCTGCTACTAAGGTGACCAGAACATGCTGAGCCAGTTTTTCTGGTTATTATTTCTCGGGCTTCAAATGTTGATAATGACATCCTTTTCTTTCTTTCTTCTTTCTTTCTTTCTTCCTTTCTTTCTCTTTCTCTCTCTCTCCCTCTCTCTCTCCCTCTCTTCTATTCAATCATCTATCTATATGTCTGTCTATGCATCTATTATCCTTTTTTCTTTCTTTCTTTCCTTCCTTCTCTCCCTCCCTCCCTCTCTATTCTATCATTTATCTATGTCTGTCTAGACATCTATTATTCTGTTTTTTCTTTCTTTCTTTCTTTCTTTCTTTCTTTCTTTCTTTCTCTCTCTCTCTCTCCCTCTCTCCTATTCTATCATCTATCTATATGTCTGTCTATGCATCTATTATCCTATTATCTTTCTTTGGTTCCTTCTCTCTCTCCCTCTCTCTCTATTCTATCATTTATCTATATCTGTCTATGCATCTATTATCCTATTTTCTCTTTCTTTCTTTCTTTCTTTCTTTCTTTCTTTCTTTCTTTCTTTCTTTCTCTCTTTCTCTCTCTCTCTCCCTCCCTCCCACCCACCCTGAATTTCTCCAACAGCGGCAGGATCCGGCCACACTTCTGCCAGGATGTTGACAAGGAATGTGGACTTCACTTGCTTTCACAATGACGCAATGTTTGGCGTGGGAGGGAAATACTTCAAATTCCCGGGTGTCAATTTTGCAAATGCCTGTCTTTGCATGGTTTATTTAAAAAAAAAAAAAAAAACTGGTCCCACTATAGCATTGGTTTTCTGATCTTCACAGGGGTTACAGAAGTACAGAATAACAGAAGTGGAAGGGACCTTGGAGGTCTTCTAGTCCAACTCCCTGTTCAAGGAGGAGACACTATATCATTCTGGACAAATGGCTGTTCTGTCTCATCTTGAAAACCTCCAGTGATGGAGCACCCACAACTTCTGGAGGCAAGTCGTTCCACTGATCAATTGTTCTGACGGAGAGAAAATTTATTCTCACTTCTAGGTTGAATCGCTATTTAGCAATAGCAATAGCACTTAGACTTATATACCTCTTCACAGTGCTTTCCAGCCCTCTCTAAGCAGTTTACAGAGTCAGCCTCTTGCCCCCAACAATCTGGGTCCTCATTTTACCCACCTCGGAAGGATGGAAGGCTGAGTCAACCTTGAGCCTGGTGAGATTTGAACTGCCAAACTGCTGGCAACTAGCAGTCAGCAGAATTAGCTTGCAATACTGCATTTGAACCACTGCGCCACCATAGCTTCATTAATATATTGTACTTGTACTCCTTCTATATTTAAAGTACTAAGCCTGTTTTGATCCTATCAATTAAGATCAGCACTTCAGATATTTTATGGGTAGTCTTCAACGTACGACCACCGTTGCGACCGGAATTTCAGTTGTTGTTCTGACCTAGGCTTCCTTAGAAATTAAACAGCACAAACTTAGTCCCAGCAAACCTCTTTCATTCATACGGCGGTAAATTACTTTCATTTACAGTCTGCAAGGTTTGATAAATAGTCTTTCAGAGGAAGGTTATCAACACCCACCTATCTCACGTGGAACGCTGCCAGAGAGCTAATTTCCAGACGCAGGGCAAGGCCAAACTTGGCACAGAGTCACAAACAGAATTTTCAAATCTTGAATCGGCCAGAGGAACTAACTGTTTCCTGCAAAAACTCACGTACCGTTTGCTTCTCTTTTATGTCTTATGGGAGGGGCCAATCATCTCCAAGCCTTACTCCCAAGTCGACCCTGTTTCTTTAATTGTTCCTGACTCCTGGCAGCTCTGCGCACGTGCACACTGGGAACAGGCCAGGGGTGGGTTCTACTTACCTTTACTACCGGTTCGCAATGGGGCCGCACGAGTGCGCTTGCTTCGCTCGCGTGCAAGCGCAGAAACTTCTGCGCATGCGCAGAAGCGTTTTCATGACGTCAGGGTCAGTGGGCGGAGCCTCCCGCCAGTTTTACTACCGGTTCTACAGAACCAGTGCGAACCGGGGGCAACCCACCACTGGAACAGGCTGGAGCTGGTCTTCTGCCTCACTGATGTCAGACTCCAGAGGCAGCAAAGAACTACCAGCTGGCCTTGGCTCCCTCTCTGCCTCTGACTAAGAACCACCGTCCAAGCCTTCCCCAGACTCCAGGACTGGCCTACGTTCCTCCCCAATCTTCTCACTGTCCGACTCTGTTGCCAGCTCTGCTGGCCGCTGGTGGGCCACAATAGTCGCTATGCAATGCGGTCATGACCGGACCTGATTTTAAGACCATTTTTTTCTGCAGCCCTTAAGCAAATTGTGTGTTCGTTAAGGGAATCCAGCTTCCTCAATGGACTGTTGCTTGTCGGAAGCCAGCTGAGAAGGTTTGCAAATGGAGATCAGGAATCAGCAATGTGAGCTGGTTTCCAAGTGCTCAAATTTGAGATCCTGTGGTCAAAGAGGCAGGGCAATGATCATGACGCCCAGGTTGGATCCTAACTCATTTTTTCCAAGGCCGTCGTAACTTGCGGATGGGAGTTGTGGATGCTGTTATCAATGGAGGTTTTCAAAACTAGACTGGACAATTAATTGACTGGCTGGTATAAGGTCTCCTACCTTAAGCCGGGGGTTGGACTAGAAGACCTCCAAGGTCCCTCCCAACTCTATGATTCTATCTTCTATGTTCTAAAAGCTCCACAATGGAGACTCTATCACTGTATAATTTGCCTTCCACTTTCTTCGAATTTGAAGGGCTGAAAGAAATTCATTAAAAAGCAAAACCTTTTCAAACAAAAAAACCAACACCCATAAAACACTGGGAACCAGCTAGGCATTCTCCCAATTAAGAGGGAAAAAATATTAGTTGCTTATTATTATTCCTGGGAAACGGTTCAACATCCACACAGAGAAAGCGTTCCTAAGGTATATTTATTCCCTCCTGTTTTTGTAGATCTGAAATGTCAGCCCAGTGACTTATTTTCCAGTTTTCTCCGTGCCTTTCTAATTTGTACAAGTATGTTTCATGGAAGAAAAAGAAAAAGAAAAAACACAACCGCTATAATTAATAATATGTTCACCAATTATGTCTACCTAGAGGATTAACTGATGCCAGAACTACATTATGTATCTGAATATTGGCAGGCTGAGCGTTTTTTTATTCCTGGTGCATAAAGAAGGAAGCAAGAAAAATCTGGTGTGATAAACCTTGAATCGAAGTAAACCCAAGAGAAGTTTCAGGAAAAGATATGGATTCGTAAAGAGGAGACCGCAATACCCGCAGCTGAATGAACGAAATAATCTCAGCCGTAAATGCAAATGGTTTCAATTACACCCTTCCTGAAGGGGGGGGAGGGGGGGAAGGGAAAACCCAAGTTTTTCGCTTACCTATGACGGTCTGTTCCGGAGAAGTGGGTGGGGTGAGCAACATTCCACAACTGCTGGTGTCTTTCAAGGTTCCAGCTCCTTGCTGTGCCACGCTGTTGTGGCTTCCTGGCGTGGAAGTGCTCTGAGACACGGGAATGTCGTTTTGAGAGATAAGAACAAAGGCAGAAGGGTATACCATTCGGACACCACCTGTTAAGGCCGAGGGGAAGGAAGGGTGGGAGTGAGACAAGAGAGTTGGGGTGGTGGTTGTCGTTGTTGTTGTTTTTAAGGGTTATATTTGTAATTTAGCCAACGTTGTGTGTATTTTCACATGCAAACAGCATTGCAGTTACAAGTGTGTGTGTATGGTGCATCAATTAGTTGGAGGGAGGGAGGGAGGGAGGGAGTGAGGGAGGAAGGAAGGAAATGGGAGGGAGGGAGCGAGTGAGTGAGGGAGTGAGGAAGAAAATGGGAGGGAGGAAGGAAGGAAGGAAGGAAATGGGAGGGAGGGAGGGAGGAAATGGGAGGGAGGAGGAAGGAAGGAAATGGGAGGGAGGGAGCGAGTGAGTGAGGGAGTGAGGAAGAAAATGGGAGGGAGGAGGAAGGAAGGAAGGAAATGGGAGGGAGGGAGGGAGGGAGGAAGGAAGGAAATGGGAGGAAGGGAGCGAGCAAGGGAGGGAGGAAGAAAATGGGAGGGAGGAGGAAGGAAGGAAGGAAATGAGAGGGAGGGAGGGAGGAGGAAGAAAGGAAGGAAATGGGAGGAAGGGAGCGAGCGAGGAAGAAAATGGGAGAGAGGGAGGGAGGAAGGAAATGGGAGGGAGGGAGGAAATGGGAGGGAGGAAGGAAATGGTAGGCAGGAAGGAAGGAAGGAAATGGGAGGGAGAGAGGAAGGGAGGAGGAAAATGAGAGTGGGAAGGAGGGAGGGAGAAAATGGGAGTGAGGAAGGAAGGAAGGAATTGCTCTGATGCCTAAATAAAAACACAAACAAATCGTCTGAAACTATTTCTAAGTTACAAAACAAAACCCACCAAATTTCAGACAAAAGAACAGATCAAAACACGAGAAGAAGCACCGTAAAACATGTGTTACAGTTCAAGACTTGTTTTTTTTTTAACGTTATTGTATTTGAACTGGAACCGGATCAAACAGAAGAGACTTTTCAAGGGAAGGGGGGAAAAAGAAAAAAGAGAAAAAAGAAATACAGATTCTCTCACCAACAATGACTTCTACGGCCACGGGAAAGTCATCGTCGTATCCCAGCTCCTCTTCCTCTTTCACGCTCTCCTTCCTCTTCAGCACCATGGGATAAAAATACTGCCATTCTTCAATTAGCTTCCTGGTCGCCGGGTCGGACATCTTGTAAGCTTGGCCTGTTAAAGTACCACTTAAGCCGTACGGACTGATCAACACTGGTCGGGAAAACAAGACGACGACACAGAACGAAACAGAGTGGTTAGCGCCTAGATTAAACTGTCAGATTAACGAGTTGGAAGGGATCTTATAGGTCATCTAGTCCAACCCCACCCCACTCAAGCAGGAGACCCTACACCAGTGATGGCTAACCTTTTTGCCATCGCATGCCAAAAGCAGGGGGGAGTGCGGGAGGGGGAGCATAATTCAATGCTCCCCCCGTGCATGTGCCCCCAACCCCCCCCCCCCCCCCCGGCACCCTGTTCTGGGTCTAGCAGGCCTACCTGAAGCCTCCGGAAGGCGAAAACGGCCTTCCCCACTCCCCCGGAGGCCAGAAACGGCCCGTTTCCCAACTTCCGGTGGGCCCGGTAGGCCCGTTTTTCACACCAGTTCTTAGGGCAACCCTAAAACTGCCATCTCTCTTGGACTAGACCCCTATTTTTCCAATTGATTGGCCTTTATGTCTTGCATGTACGTTGAAGCAGGCAAACAGGAATTCGTTATTTCTGAACGCGCCTACTCATGTCTCTCTAAGCAGATCTAATTATTTAATGCAAAAGGATAAAACAGCATGATCAAATGTTATGGATTATGCTCTAAGGTAGCATCAGGGCTTTGTTTAGTTGCAAGCCAATATTGGCTAATTGTTACAGCAACCAATTAAAATGCATACCTCTTCAGGAAATACATTAATTACCAAGGGAAATGGTTTAACCTCCTCTCTTTCTCTCTTATCCCACCCCCTCCTCTTCCACTTCTCTTAAAAAGGCTGCAGTTGACAAGTCTCTTTTTGCCCATATCAAAACAAAACAAAACAAAACAAAACAAAAGGCAGGGATTGTGATAAAAGGACCAAAACGCTTCGGAGTCGAAGAGACTAGGCAACCTTGTGCATCTTGAGCCACAGTGGCGCAGTGGTTAGAGTGCAGTACTGCAGGCTACTTCTGCTGCCTGCCGGCCACCTGCAATCTGGCAGTTTGAATCTCACCAGGCTCAAGGTTGACTCAGCCTTCCATCCTTCTGAGGTGATAAAATGAGGACCCAGATTGTTGGGGGGCCATAGGCTGATTCCGTAAACCGCTTAGAGAGGGCTGGAATGCACTGTGAAGTGGTATATAAGTCTAAGGGCTATTGCTATCTATCTATCTATCTATCTATCTATCTATCTATCTATCTATCTATCTATTATCTATATCTATCTATCTATCTATCTATCTATCTATCTATCTATCTATCTATATCTATCTAGGTCTGTCTATCTATGTCTGTCAGTATGTCTCTGTCTGTCTGTCCATCCATCCATCCATCCATCCCTATCTATCTGTCTGTCTGTCTGTCTGTCTGTCTGTCTGTCTGTCTATCTATCTACAGTATCTATCTATCTCTGTCTCTATCATCTCTCTCTCTCCCTGTCTCCATCCATCCATCCACAGCTATTGCTATCTTGGGCCATTTTGAAAATAAAATATTCTTCTATACAGGGTCGAAGTCATCCCAGGGGAAAACAGAAGGAGAGCATTTAGTGTGAATGCCAACTCCATTGGCATCCCAGCCAAAAGAAAGAAAGGAAAAAACAAAACAAAAGCAAGTGTGAAGATTTAATAAAGGTTTTGTTCCGAGGTTACATCACACCGAGAAGCCCTAGGCCACCCGAAGAACACGCAGGCCTACCTTGAAAAGGCATGGGAGATGACTGGGCCATGTGTAGGTGCTCCTCACTGATAAGGTAGATCGGTTGGTGCTGTGCGATCTCCACACTTGTGCACACGTTGCTTTCCCCATGGAGGAAGAATGTGAAGGCGCAGGACAAATGCTCACTGCAGGAAGAGAGAGAGAGAAAGAAAGAAAGAAGCAATTCATTAAATCCTAAAATCAGCGCATCGGGAGTCCTCCAAATTCTATGGGTCTCGCTTGAATAGAATTCACAAGACGTGTGGCTGGCAAAACAGGGTAAGCCCCTTCTCATAGAACATAGAACAATAATAATACAATTTGGGATGGACCACCCTTGGAATGGTGTGGGAGTAGGAATGGATTTCCAGAAGAAGAAAAAATTGCAGACTATAGGAACCAGGAACACCGGTGACCCTGAGGACACAGGTAAACCTCCAAGTGGCTTCAATGACTCTCTCAAAGGATGCAAAGGACCGGCTGTCTGCAAGGAATATCAATCCTTCCATTCCCCCACCATCCACCATCAGAGCTGAAGAAGCTTCTGGGACGAGAAGCAAAACGACTTCAAAGAAAAATCAGAAAGTTCGGTTGCCTCTTGAAAAAAAAAGCAGAGATAAACCTCCAAGTGGCCTCAACGACCCTCTAAAAGGATGCAAATGACCGGCTGTCTGGAAAGGAGTATAAATCCTTCCATTCCCCCACCATCCAGTTAGAGCTGAAGAAGCTTCTGGGATGAGAAGTGAAACAACTTCAAAAGAAAGCAACCAGAAAATCTTGAAAAAGCACCTTCAGGACAACTGAGGACACAGATAAACCTCCAAGCGGCCTCAACGACCCTCTCAAAGGATGCCAATGACCGGCTGTCTGCAAAGGAGTATAAATCCTTCCATTCCCCCACCATCCAGTCAGAGCTGAAGAAGCTTCTTGGATGAGAAGCGAAACGTCTTCAAGGAAAAACCAAGGAAGTCCAGTTGCCTCCTGAAAAAGCACCTCTGGGACAACTATGACCTGGATGACTGAGAATCTCGACAGACTTATAGAATAATAGAGTTGGAAGGGACCTTGGAGATCTTCTAGTCCAACCCCCTGCTCAAGCAGGAGACCTTATTCCACTTCAGGTAAATGGTGGTCCAGTCTCTTTTTGAAAGCCTCCAGTGAGGGACCGCCCACAACTTCTGGTGGCAAGCCGTTCCACTGATTAATTGTCCTCACTGTTAAGAATTTTCTCCTTCGTTCTAGGTTGCTTCTCTCCTTGATTAGCTTCCATCCGTTGCTTCTTGTCCTGCCTTCAAGGTGCTTTGGAGAATAGGTTGACAACACGCCCCCCCCACCCTTCCTCTTTGAAGGAGCCCCTCAAATATTGGAACACTGCCTTCATGTCTCCCACAGTCCTTCTTTTCATTAGATTAGCTCGATTGTGGTCGTAAATTGAGGGCTACCTGTTGTGTCTGTACATAACGTTGAACCTTCCTGCCATTTTGAGCGTGAAAATCACCTTGCGTCAGTGGTGGGTTCCTCCCGGTTCGGCCGAGCCGGTAGCGGTGACGATATGACGTCACCAAACCGGTTCTCTTTGTTCGGGAGCTGGGCCCTCCCTCCCCGCTCACATTATTCTTACCTTTTATTTGGCCCCGTCCCCAATCTATTCGCTGCCTCCCGAGTCCCAGCTGATCGGCTAGAAGGAAAAAAACTGTTTAACCTCTTGCCGCAGGCTTCAAAGGGCTGCCCTACAGCTGATCAGTGTTAAAAGGCAGTGCGGTGGTAGACCAGTGCGCTCGAAAAACAAATGGGTAGACCGGTGCCTCCAAAAACAAATGGGTAGACTGGTGCCTCCAAAAACAAATGGGTAGACCGGAGCCTCCAAAAACAAATCGGTAGACCGGAGCCTCCAAAAACAAATCGGTAGACCGGAGCCTCCAAAAACAAATCGGTAGACCGGTTCCTCCAAAAACAAATGGGTAGATCGGAGCCTCCAAAAACAAATCGGTAGACCGGTGCTTCCAAAAACAAATGGGTAGACCGGAGCCTCCCAAAACAAAGGGTAGACCGGAGCCTCCAAAAACAAATCGGTAGACCGGTGCCTCCAAAAACAAATGGGTAGACCGGAGCCTCCAAAAACAAATGGGTAGACCGGAGCCTCCAAAAACAAATCGGTAGACCGGGACACTCCAAAAACAAATGGGTAGACCAGGATGCTCCAAGAACAAATGGGTAGACGGTACAGCTCTGTAAGCAGTTAAAAGCTTGGTAGACCAGTACCTCTGCTAAATCCTAAAGAATTCTCACATGACCATCAAACCACGCCCACAAAATAAGCCACACCCACAGAATCGGTAGTAAAAAAATTTAAAACCCACCCCTGCCCTGCGTACATAATGGAGTTTCTCATCTGCAGGACAAGGCACCACTACAAATTGGAGATCAGAAAATATCAAATAGCTTTGGGGGGGTGGGGGTTGTTTGTTTGTTCCCGCCCCCCCACCACCACCACAACAGAACAAATTCCATGCACAGCCTACAATGGCGGAACAGATGTGTCCCGCAATGAACTAGGCCTCGTTCACACTTAACGACCGTAAGAATAAGAAATTCCAAACGTTGATTAGAGTGACAGCTGAACGGAGTATCCTGGGGCACCCAGCTAAACAAGTGTCTGCAAATGCACAGCTTAAGTGGCACATGTCCATTATGTGTTTACTGACACCATGGCAATCGGCTCCATGCGAAATGTGGACTGTAATGAAAAGCAGCTGGAGAACTTACAAAATGCAGCAAAAAAAAAAAATTCTTTTTTTTTTTTTTTAAAGGCAGATGTGCGAGAGTCGCTTGTTTATCTGCTTGGATCGACGTGAACGAGAAAGAAGGAACGTGTATGGTGGGGAAACACAGAAAGGCTCCGGATTTTTGGTGGGGTTTTTTTTCCCCCAGGATCTCAAAACATGAAAGTAAAAACATGACAGAGAAGTGATTTATGGAGTCACTTTGATGGGGCAGGGGTGGGAGTTTAGCATGGAGGTTTCATAACTGGATAGGGTAACATCCACAGACAATCTAAAAAAAAAAAATGTAGTAAGCGCACGCATGGAGAACAGAATACACAAAGCAGTAACACCCAACATTTCTGGAATTTTCGTCCTTAAAAAAAAAAGGAAGGCCCCGACTAAAAAATCTTCATTTGGAAAATAAATGGCTTGCATCCCTCCCTTATATATATATATATATATAAAAAGGAACGTGGAAAAACACACCATAACGGAATGGGAAGAATGCAGAACGGAAGGGATGCAAGCCATTTATTTATATATATATATACAGTTATTATTAAATAACGGTTTTTCTGCTTAATTATATTTTAACAGCTGTCGTAAGCCACCTGGTGACTCTCTAGGTTGAAAGATAAGTTAATTATTTTAAATAGATGTATGACAGACGTCCGCTGGGAATGTTTGCCGAGTTCCAAATTGCATTCACGTACACCCAGGAAGGTAATATATTTATTATGGTTGTTGGTCCCACAGCTGGCCAGATGTTTAGACCCTGGATTGGGCATTTTTTTAATCCACCTATTGAGTCCTTCCCAAGGACCAGGGATAGGCAGAGGTTGTTGTTTGATGGGGTTAAAGAAACTGTCACAGGCTATACTGCTCGTAAGCGCTATGCGCTTAGAGTTCTCCTCTCCTCTCCTCTCCTCTCCCCCCTCCCCTCCCCTCCCCTCTCCCTCTACTCTAATATTTATTCCATTCTATATTCTATTCTATCCTAATCCTATCCTATCCTAACCTATCCTATCCTATCCTATCCAATCCTATCCCTATCCCTATCCCTATCCCTATCCCTATCCCTATCCCTATCTCTATCCTATTTCTATTCTATTCTATTCTATTCTATTCTATTCTATTCTATTCTATTCTATTCTATTCTATTCTATTGTATTGTATTCTATTCTATTCTATTCTATTCTATTCTATTCTATTCTATTCTATTCTATTCTATCCTATCCTATCCTATCCTATCCTATCCTATCCTTAAATTTTTTTCTTTCTATTCTTATTTCTATTCTTATTTCTATTCTATTCTATTCTATTCTATTTCTATTCTATTCTATTCTATTCTATTCTAATTCCTATTCCTATTCCATTCCTATTCCTATTCCTATTCTCCTTTCTTCTTTCCTCCTCCATGCGATTCACCTAACAGTTGCAGTGATGCACAGAACCATCTTACAAATAGTTTGTAAAATTGGGTGTGACTCACTTAACAACCGTCTTGCATAGCGATTGGTGGTCCTGGTCTCAATGGTGAACATACATAGAGGGTTACATCCAAGCAGATATGCAAAGAACCTTCTGCATATTCCTGAAACTACTCCACTGTTCTTGTCGCAGCGTGAAGGGAGTCAGACGCAAGGAATGCATGCAACCCACACAAAATTTGCAGGAAATCAAGAGGTGTTATTTAACGACCAAAAAAACACATTGTCCTCTTTGTTGGCAAATCCTCCTGTGGCCCAAAACAGTTATATGCAATTCTATAAAAGCACTCACGTGTGCTTCCTAACCAGTACGGCTTTGCTTGCGTATATACATAAAGCAGAAATATAACTTCTTAGCCAGGGGCTTGAATGCAACCTTCCAAATTAGCCCCTTTCAAAGCTTCCAATTAATTGAAAATGTTAATGTGGGGGAAAGGAAACAAGATTAAAAACATTAGGAGTATTTAAATTAAATCAGATTTTTTTTTGTGTGTGCCTGATTTCTTTTTTTTTTTTAAAGAAGTGTGGCTCCCAAATTCAAAGTTTAAGTGCTACCCGCAAGTCCCAAAGTGGCTGCATAGTTTTTGCATTAGGTAATAAAAGTGTAGTAAAGCTTTTGAAACCAGACAAACAGAATCGAGGGTGGCAAAAGGGGATCCCGGGACACTAAAACCGTCATAAATCTGAGCCAGTTGCCAAGCGTCTGGATTTTGATCGTGTGGCCATGGAGATGTTGTGATGGTCGTAAGTGCGAAAAACGGTCGTAAATCGGTTTTTCCCGTGCCGTTGTAACTCTAAATGAACTGTTGTAAATCGAGAACTTCCTGTAGGACGGGGATTAAACATAAAGGAATTCCCTATGCAGCTTTTTATTTTGTTTCTCGGTTTCAG